AAAATGGTGGGACTTCCCTGGTGGCACAGTGATTAAGAATCCGCCTGCAGGGCTTCCCTGGTGGTGCAGTGGTTAAGAATCCGCCTGCCAATGCAGGGGACATGGGTTCGAGCCCTGGTCCAGGAAGATCCCACATGCCGCGGAGCAACTAAGCCTGTGTGCCACAACTACTGAGCCCCTGAGCCACAACTACTGAAGCCCACACGCCTAGAGCCCGTGCTCCGCAACAATAGAAGCCACTACAATGAGAAGCCCACGCACTGCAACAAAGAGTAGCCCCCACTCACCACAACTAGAGAAAGCCCGCAGGCAGCAACAAAGACCCAACTCAGCCAAAAATAAATAAATAAATAAATAATAAATAAGTAAAAAAAAAAAAACAGTCCGCCTGCCAACTCACGGGACATGGGTTCAAGCCCCGGTCCGGGAAGATCGCACATGCCACGGAGCAACTAAGCCCGTGCACCACAACTACTGAGCCTGTGCTCTAGCGCCCACGAGCCACGACTACTGAGCCTGTGTGCTGCAACTATTGATGCCAACGCGCCTAGAACCCGTGCTCCACAAGAGAAGCCACCGCAATGAAAAGCCCGCACACTGCAATAAAAAGTAGCCCCTGCTCTCCGCAAATAGAAAAAGCCCACGTGCAGCAACGAAGACCCAATGCAGCCAAATATAAATTAATTTTTTAAAAAAGATAAAATGGCATATTATTGGATAGAGGCATTCTTCCCTTGGAGAGAAGGGTAATGTGGGTAGTCTCAAGGATATGGAGTTTAAATTTTATTCTAAAGCCGAAGTACCAGGAGTAGAGAGCCTGGACAGTGGAAGAAGAGTTGGTGGAGGTGGCACAGCTGAAGAATTGGATCTTCTGAATCCAGAGAGTCGTGGTCCTTCTTGATAAGCTGGCAAAAGACACTAAGTTGACCTAGCCGGAGGAATGCAAAGGCAGGCATGTAGAGGAGATCCCTGTCCTCTCCTTACCCAGGTATCATGCCCAACCAGCTGTCTCTTATTCCTTTCTCTATCACTGATAGCTTCTCCTGGCATGGGCATGATGGGAGGATAAAGTCCTCATCTGAAGATTAACCCCTGTCTGTTTCCTCCAATTAAAAAGGCCATGGCTTTGAGAAGGCTGCATGCTGCTAAGGGGAGATGTCTTGCCTTACAAAGCATCTTCTAGCTTGCAAGAAAACCTTTGTCACTGTCCCCCTATCATCTTTATCAACATAATTGTCACTAATTAATTCACTTGTCACAAATTTAAATGACCACAACGTGCCAGACATAGAGCTAGGCACTAAGGAATGACAATAATGTTCAGATACATACTTCCTATTCTGGAGTTCACAGCCCAGCAGGCCTTGAAGCCTGTAAGCAGAACTGGTCTAGATGCTGTTCTGATTGAGACATGAGCTGGGTCCTGCTTTCAGGGAGGTCAGAGGCAGGCACTCAAAAACATCAAAAGTGGAGGATTACCTACACCAAGTATATCGATAAATTGTTTTTCATCTATGGGAGAATTACTTGCCTTAGAGGGTTCCAACAGCAAATGCTTAGTCCCTTGATTCCAGCCTGATCTTGGGATGTCCACAGGTGTCACAAATAAATGAAGACTCAAGGAATTGGAGTTATTTTTCCTACAAGTGTGAGTCAGAGATACAGCCCCTCCACAAACAGTCCCTATAAGGCCTGGGGTCTTCAAAGCTGCAGAAGTCTGAGGGACTACCAAGGATGAAAGGCTGTGGAGAATTCTGGAAGATCAGAGGATCCACAGGGAGGCCTTATCCTGCTGGCTACTGAATTAAGAGAAGGCTGGGGTTGTCATAGCCAAGAGCAGCTTTCCAGTTCCAAAGGCGCTGTCCGGCCCTACTTCCAGGGCACCTTGACCCTCACCCTGTGCATTTATGCCATAATAACCAACAAGAATGAAAATTCTAAATCACCATTTTTACCCTTCAGAATCTGATACTCAGTAGCACTTGTTCAGCAGGGACTAGAGAAGTCTTGACATTCCTTGGTACCTGGGGGACTATCTCTGTACTTCCTGGTAAATGTCTGAGTACTTACGTCTTTGGCCCCTGGGTTCCAAAATGATAAAAATGAAAAATAAAATGACACAGACACACAGTGTCTCTTTCTGACCTACCTCCTTCCCTCAGCCTCTGTCTGAAATGTCAGGCCCAGTTCCTCAGGGAATGAGATCCTGAGGAAATGGGGTCAGAGCTAAAGGAGCAGAGCAGCCTGAGAGGGAATGGGAAGGAGTATTGAGGGAACGAATGAGGTTATGGGAACAGAGTAGGGAGGGGGGCCTAGCCCTCAACCTCTCTCCCACTCTGGTGGCCTCCCTCTCCCTGCATCCCTGCCCCATTACTCCCGAGGTAACTGTGGCCTGGATTTTGACCTTCGGTACTCTGACACACTTTGTCCCTTGTTGCATCCCACTACTTTCTATCCTCTGCTTAGTTATCTCACTTGTTCATTCTCCTTCTTTCAGACTGGGTGATGTTCACTCCTTAACTCTTCTTTTCCTCTCGGTGGGAATCAAATTTTCCTGTTAAGCTGCAGCCTTTTAAAACTGAAACTTCCTCATCTTTAACAATAAAGGATTTGTTGGATGTTTTAAAGTAGGTAAAGGGTAAATGTGGGATCAGAGACATCAAAATTTTGGAATACAGGACCTAGTGGCGCTCCATGAAAAATACAAAGTAGATCTTTTTGGAAGAACTGGAAGAGACATTAGAGACTGTATATGATCCAGTCCCTTCATCTTACAAATGGAGAAGTGGGCGCCGAGACAAGGGAATGAATTGCCAGAGGCCACTTGGCAAATCAGAGGCAGGACAGGAGACCAGGGCTCCTGCATCCTGGTCAGTGTTGCCTCAAAACATAAATAAATAACTTCCAAAAGATTTATATGGCATACTATTCAGCAATAAAAAGGAATAAACTACTGATATATGCTACAATGTGGATGGACCTTAAAAAACATTATGCTAAGTAAAAGAAGCCAGATGCAAAAGACTACATATCGTATGATCCCATTTATATGAACTATCCAGAAAAGGCAAATTTATAGACAGAAAGCAGATCAGTGGCTGCCTAGGGCTAGGAGCAGAAGCAGGGATGACCTGCAAATGGGCACAATGGAACCTAGGGCTAGGAGCAGAAGCAGGGATGACCTGCAAATGGGCACAATGGAACCTAGGGCTAGGAGCAGAAGCAGGGATGACCTGCAAACAGGCACAATGGAACTTTTTGGGGTGATGGAAATGATCTAAAACTGGAATGTGGTGATGGTTGCACAACTCTATAAATTTAATAAAAATCATAGAATTATACATGTATAATAAGTGAATTTTATGGTATGTAATTTATGCCTCAATCAAGCTGTTTAAAAAAAAAGGATTTAGATATGTTTATGGATGAGAGATTTATGATGTATGTCAGACCCTGCTAATCTTTTAAGGGAACATCTAATGAAAAAGATATACCTACCCCCATGATATCCATAAAAGTTCACTGTGAAAGACATAAGATTTGGTTCTTTGACCTATGAAATACCCAGGTTAGCATTCTTCATTTTTAAAAAGTGTCCTCCTCACTAAAATATGTAAGTTTCCTGAGGAGAACAGGCGTGTCTTTGTCCTCAGGCTAATTACTACACCTAGCACTGTGACCAGCATGCAGATGGTGCTTCACAAAAAATGAATTAAAATAAACTAGTTCTGCTGTGTCATGTGATTATGGGTACCTTGAGGGACCATCTGGTTTCTAGAGCAGTACCTCGGTGGGAAGAGTCTGCATCCCCTACACACTCCCAGGCCCCTCAGAGAGTAAAGTCTCTGGAGAGGAGATGCTGGTTGCATACATTCTCAGGAGACTGTATATACACCAAAAGGCCTATTCGTTTCACCCCCTTTAGACCTCTCTCCTCTGCTATTGTCCCCATTTACCTTCTCCAGGTCAGCCTCAAAAATACAATGACCTGGGCTTCCCTGGTGGTGCAGTGGTTGAGAGTCCACCTGCCGATGCAGGGGACACGGGTTCGTGCCACGGTCCGGGAAGATTCCACATGCCGCGGAGTGGCTGGGCCCGTGAGCCATGACCGCTGAGCCTGCGCATTCAGAGCCTGTGTTCCTCAACGGGAGAGGCCACAACAGGCCACAACAGTGAGAGGCCCGCGTACTTAAAAAAAAAAAAAAAAAAAAAAATACAATGACCTCTGGAGCAAATAAGCTACAATACCCTAAACATTCTTCATCTAATTCCACACCTAATCCTTTTCCCTTCCCCTCACACCATGCGCCAAATCAGGAATCAAGTACCATGAAATCCAGTCCAAATATATTATAAATATAACAGAAGGGACAAGTGATGTGAAAGTTGGTCTCTAGTTTAATTTCCTTCAGTCCTAGGGCATAGGCTCAGAATTTGTTTTCAGAGCCAAGAATATTATCTAAAGGGCTTTTGTAATAGACAACTGTAAAATATCACCACAGATGCATCCTCAGTTTTATCTTCTGAAACTTGGATATGATATTCCCCCTCCCTCCCTGCAATTCCACCATCTTCATCACCAGCTTCAACTTCAAATCAGACCTCAGGTCCTTCTAGCATTACTCAGCTGACCCTGTGAGGCACTAATGATGCCCCCAGGACTTAAGTATTCGGTTTTTAGCCCATTATTTTGTGCTACCTTATGGGTAGCTTCATAATTCCTCTTCAGTCATTTTATATATGTTTGTCCTTTCTCCCCAGTTCTGAGCAAAGGGACCCATTTGCTCTGTTATTTCTTGTCCGCTACTAGTGCAAGCCACTGCGTCCGGCGATGTTGAGGCAATGTTGGTTGTTTTTCCAACTAATGTTTCTGATCACTCCTGAAGGCTGAGGCTAAAAGCCCTGCAGGAACTTCCCTGGTGGTCCAGTGGTTAAGACTCCACGCGCCCAATGCTCGGGGCCCGGGTTTGACCCCTGGTCAGGGAACTAGATCCCGCATGCCACAACTAAAAGATCCCATGTGCCACAACTAAGACCCAGAGCAGCCAAATATATAAATAATAAATAAAGCAACACTATAAAAATAAATAAATAAAAGCCCTGCAGACTAAAAGTAGGGAAGGCTCCAGGTTCTGTGAGGTCTAATACTTATATAATTTGGGGGTTCCTCTTTAAGTTAAATAGTAAAATAATTATAGAATTAGGGAGGACTTGGAAGGGTTCTGTGTAAGTGAGGGGATCTGACTCTTAAGTTTCATTAGCTTCATTGTAAATCTGTTTCTGACTGAAAAAAATGAAGCCTGGTTACATCCCATCCAACTCTTCAGCCCTGATTGATCAGGTGCCTATTCCTGGCTTTTCCTGTGGATATCCTGTACCCAGCACATCTATTCCACAAGAAGGTTCTGGCTCAACAAAATGGCCTTGGCAGCCAAGTCTCTCTATTTAGTGAAAAAGTCCCAAAGGGCTGGATTAACACTCCTCCCACTTAGTAAGTTGGAAGCACTTAGAATAATGCTCCTTTCAGAGCAGGTGATTTCTTGCTATGCATGGTGGAGGGTGAGGACCTTGTATCCAATTCTTCCTGGAAGACCCTGATGGCTCAAAGCCTCGAGGAGTTGCATTGTTATGCAGCAGAAGGGCCTGGAATGTTCCAGTACATTCCACCAGTGGCCTCTGTGACCCCTGCTTCTATTCAACTTGGGCAAAGGCCTGGTAATCTACAAAGTAGCGTGTATTCTGCTGGGGTAGGAAGCAGCTTGGTCTTACTTCTTCCATGCCACTCTGATAGTATCATACAAGTTGGCACCTTCCTTGGAAGTCCCACCCAGAAGCTCCATCCAATTCTCTGACCTACTGGGTGTTTGCCCAGAATGTCAAGTCAGGGTCTAGATCTCAACCCTGTTAACTTTTTGGCCATATACACCCAATTTTGAATTCTTCCCCAAAAATTCTTCCTGGGATCTCTGAATCTGTGGTGGGTCTGCATTCCTCAGAATTCCCAAGAAGCTTGTGCCACCTGTGGAGACACTAACATCAGGGCCCCGGAAAGAAGGTCATATAATTAGGATGCTATAGACCATATGCCCCAACTACACAGCATAAAAGAATACTTCTGCTTTCTGGGAGCTTCCTATAGGCTAAGTAATTTGCACACATAATATCATTTAACCCTCAGTCCTAGTTATTATATCCTATCCAGTTGGTGTAACTATCCCCAATTCACAGGTGAGAAAACTGAGGCTCAGAAAGGTTAGGAAATGTATTGGAGGTTATCTAGCTAGAGAAGACAGGTTCATCTGCTTTCAAAGACTGTGTATAACCACTACTGGGGGGTTCAATGGACTAGGTCAGAGGGATGCAGACCTAGAGGTCCACCCTTATCCAGAAGTTGAAGGTCAGAGTTAGGAATACAGACCAGATCCTATAACCCACTTCCCTGCCTCCCTGTCCCCTCCCCTAGCCCTAAACTCTCTAGAACTCTGACTTTGTTTATAGCGCAGAGAAGCAGTGCTCAGAAATTATGGAGGTGAGTCTGGCAGGTTCCAGCTGTTCTTGGTGAGGGAGTTGAACATTTTTTGGAACTCCTCCTTGAAAAAAGCATGGACTAAATGCACTTCCTTTCTCCAAGCTTCCTACCTTGGGGAAGGAGAGAGATGGGGAAGCTGGGGGATTTCCATTTAGGAGAAACCAGAGATGATCAAAGGAGGTAGAACAGTGGTGCTGCCCTTTAAGAAAGACTGCCAGAGCTCTGGAACTTGGACTCTTAAACTTCTGTAAGGTGCCAAGTAAAGTGAGAAAGCTCTTCTTGGGGTCAAAAGAGGAGCTACAAGAGGAGGCCCTAGGGAAGACTTGGCAGAAAAGGGTGGGAAGGAAGTCAGACTCTATCCAGGACCAAAAGTGTGGTTTAATTCTGAACCCACCAAAACCAAAAAAAAGAAAGGGGCTCACCCCTTGACTCCCTACATCCGGGGTGGGACAGCCAAATAAGGGGAACTCTTGCCGGAGTGTGCTCTCCATTTTGACACAAAACACTGGCTGTACTGCCTGCCCAGCCTGCCAGAGAGCTGCTGGAAAGAGCCACTGACCGCTGCATTTGGTTGATAAATGATGGGCACCCCTGCCTGCTGCCCATTCTCTTTTTTTCTCCCTGCTTAGTTTGCAGCCTTCTGCCTGGCAGGGAGCCCCAGAATAAGGGTGGGAGAGAAGGGTCCTCCAGACAGTATTTAATCCTTAGTGATTTATAGGCTGCTGGAAGGGGGTGGGGGGGAATGTCAGACAGGGGAAGCCCCTGGGACTAGTTTCCATGATGCATCAGCACACCATTGACAAGAGTCTAAGTATTTTCCTGATGCCTGTGCCTTCGGGCCCATCTTTGAGAGATGATACAGCCCTTACCGCTCTGGTACCAGGTAGGATGAGACCAGCAGAGCTGGCTGGGAAATGAACATACAACCAAATCCTCAACCTTTACTTTAAGCCACACACTGCTGGGAGAGGGAAGAAATAAGTGAGGATGAGCAGCTCAATAGCTGTTTTTGGAGGATTTATTTTTTTAATGTACGAGAATTCTTTTGAACCCTCCATGGCTCTAAGAAAAATTATTTGAAATGTTCCTGCTTAAGGGGCCGGGGTGTGGTGGGGGGCGCGGGTAAGTGCCAGGGATTGAAGGCTAAATGCCAGGGAGGCTGGTTGCAGGGATTCTTGGAACCAGGGCTATTGGCCTCCCTGCTGTGGGCTCAGGAATACCAGCCCCAGGCTCTGGTTGCCCTGAGAGATGCAGCCATTTTTACTTCTGATTGAAGGGCACCACCTTCTGGGATTTTCCCTTCTTTGGTGAAAACCTGAGTAGAATATGCCCAGGGAACCAAGAGGGCATGTGCCCAAGAGTCTGGAGGGCACTGGAGATAACAATGTGAGAGGCAGGGTGAGATCAATGCTTTTTATAGTTTAGAGTTTTGTCCCTGTTGGTGGAGAGAAGATGCATTTTGTGAGAGTGTATGGTAATTGCCCTTCATAAGGATGATCTCAAAAGGTCAAGGGATGGGCCTTGAATAGCCCTAATGTCCCTGAAATAGTCTATTGTATAGCTATTGTCCATACATGTAAAGGAACCCTTCTTGACCCTATTCATACTTTTCTGCCTCTGGGATTTCCCAAGTGAAAATCGTATTCTACTTTATCCCCAGACCCAAGTCTACCTCTTTTAAGCTTCAACAACAAAATAGTTCAACATACATTTCTTGAGCTCCTACTATGTGCCAGGCATCGTGCTAGGTGCTGGGAATATAGAGATAAATAACACACAGTCTCTTCTCTGGGGAGTCCACAGTCTAGTTTTTGAAAGATTTTCCTTCGCACTGACTTTTCGGATTTGGTAAATAAATCTGCATCTATCCCCTTTATATTTTCATATGCACGGATCATAGTCTCAGCTTCCATCTTTCCACAATCTTTAAAATTTTGCCTCATATGGTAACCTCCATTTTCCCCTTGACCAATTTAGATAACTTTCTTTGGACTCTGATATGTCTTCTTAGGAGTTGAGTGACCAGAATTAGACACGATATTTCATATACAAATGCTATATGAATGTGTGTACGAGAGTAATGCTATGTTGTCTAACTTCCTTCATTTATCATTACTATTGCCATTCTTTCATACATCCAATAGTTACTGAGTACCTCTTAAGCACTATGTACTGTGCTGGGTGCTGAGAATGCAATGGTAAGTAAAATGGACACTGCTCTCATGAAACCTAGCCTGGGTATGTGTTGGGAGGACAGAAGCAAAGAATCCAAAGAGTCACATAAATAGATATATAATTATAAACTGAGACAAATGTTATGAAGAAAAACGCCGGGTGCTGTAACAGTATAGAAATAAGGGCTTTGGTCTAGTCTGGAAGCTTCGGGAAATAGTTTCCTGAGGAAATGACATTTGACCTTAGAGCTGAAGGATTAGTGGAAAGAGGTGAAGAAGAGAATGAGGAAAGAACATTCCAGACAGAGTAAAGAGTATGTGCAAAGATCCTGAGGTGGAAGGAACCAGGGGACTCCTGAGAACTGCAGGAAGGCCAATGAGGTTAAAGCCCAGAGAATGAGGTTGTGTGGGACGGGCTGGAGAATTAACCAAAGGGCAGATCATGCGGTCATTGCAGCCAGGTAAGAATTTCAGTCTTTATCCTACAGAAGATCATGGAACCAAAGTCTTTACAGAAGAGCTTTTTTCCCCAGATTATTAATGCTGCTTATACTTGTCTTGAAGGGGAACAGTAATGATAGTCTGAACTGTTAGGAACTTTCCCAGTTTCCTGGCATGGTGTGGCTATGTCTGGCTGGCCCTGGGGAGGCCCAAAGCTGATGAACCGGCCCCAGCCTGGCAGCCCTCAGGCAAGGGATGGACACTGTCAGTATGGACAGAGGGGCAGGGGTGGAGGGTGGGTGGAGTGCTTTGCCTGAGGTATCAGCCCCACAGTGACATTTGGAACAGCCCCAAGCCTATGGCTCTTGTTCCTTGATAAGTCTATCATGTGTACCCCCCCATTTAAATGGTCTTCTCACCCTGCCACCCTTCCTACAGCAGCTGTGCGCCCCACCCAATCTGGGGAAGGCCTCTGGATAAGAACTCTGACTCTGCCCAGAACCTGAGGTCCTGGCCTTCTGAGTTCAGGCCTTAGTACTGTCTGGAACCATGTATATACATATTCCTGATAGTTTGGAGTTATTAATGGAAGCCATGGGAGAATAGGGTCATGATGGTTGGACTTGGCCTTTCTGAAGCCCTCTCTTTCCTTCTGGGCCTATCTTTGGAGAATGTGGTCTGGTGTAGTGACATCTACTGGCAAGGCTAGGCAGGTAAAAAAAATGACCAGATGCCCACTCATCCTCAAGTAATTTCCAGACTAGTAAGAAAATCATCCTTAACTTCTGAGATTGGGTTGGGTCAGTAATCGCAGTTGGTTACAGCAAGACTAAGAAGAGCAGGGTTGTGAGTTTGGACCATGTTATGTGCTGATTTACCTTAAATAGAGAAATTATTTTCCTAGTTGTAGCTCGCATCCCTCACCCTGGCAGTTGATTCACATTTGGGTACAATTAGTCACAAGGGAGATTGACTGAGCATGTGTAAGTGACTCAGAGAGAACCATTCCTGGCCCCAGTTCCTGGGAAAGCATCTCCCAACAAATGAAATGACCCTCAGTTTACAAACGGCAGAAGGCAGGGTCATTTTTCATCCTCCTGAAGTTGACTGGTTTGCGAATTTTTTTCCTAGTACTCAGTTTCTCCTAGGTCATCAGGAAAATAGTGTCAACACGACCATCTTCAAAGTTTCTACAGTGGGCAAGAGTGACTACAGCTTTTTTTTTTTTTTTTTTGCGGTACGCGGGTCTCTCACTGCTGTGGCCTCTCCCATTGCGGAGCACAGGCTCCGGACGCGCAGGCTCAGCGGCCAATGGCTCACGGGCCCAGCCGCTCCGCGGCATGTGGGATCCTCCCGGACCGGGGCACGAACCCGTGTCCCCTGCATCGGCAGGCGGACTCTCAACCACTGCGCCACCAGGGAAGCCCCGTGACTACAGCTTTTAAAGCGGCCCCTCAGTTCTTGCTGAGGTAAGACATAACCTGCCTCCCCACTGCTTTCATCCATGTCATCTACACATTCTGTTCATAATATCATTCTCCTTCTTAATAGCATGCATAATTGACAAAGAGTTTACCACTAGAGGTAATAGGGAAGCCAGAGAGAAAGAGTGAGGAGAAACAACTAGAGAAATTATTATGAAGCAAATCTTCTGCTTTCTTAGTAACACTGATTCCATAGCTGAATGTGGCTCAGACAAAGCATCTTTCACACAAACTTAAAAGAAAATCATCAAGACCTCAGTAGAGAAATGAGTAATACATAGGATTTCATGGAAGAGGAAACAGGACTAGTAAAGAAACACATGGAAGACTGAAGTCTATCCTAACTAGAAATAAAACGAAAAGCACATTTGAGGTGCAGTTTTCATTTTTTTACTAAACTTGCAAGATTTTATTAAGTGGTAACACTCAGTTCTGGGAACATCTTAAAATTGGTATCCTCCCACAATGATGGTGACACTTTAAATTTGGGCAACTCTTTGGGGAAAGAAATAAAGCAACGTATAAGAGGCAGAAATAAAAACAGGAGAGCTACAGATGCATGCAGACTCTCACTGCAGCATTATTTGACTTAAAAGATGCTCAATAATCCCAAATAGGGGAGTGAGGGCACATTATGTCACAGAGCCACATTGCAATGGCACACGGCAATTACAATTACAATTATGAGGACTACAGAGAAACATGGGAAATATTGAGAATGTGTAAAAAATATGAAATTTCATGTAAACAATGAGTGCATTTATACAAAACGTGTACATGTAATAAAATGTACACATGTGGAGAAAAATTGGAAGGCAATATGCAAAAAATAAAAATAGCTCTATGGCACCAGTGAGATTAAGGATGTCTTTTATTTTTTCAGACATTTATTTAGTGTTATTATACTGTGTTAGTTGAAAAGGTGGAGGGGGTTGGTGCCGGTGAACGTCATACTCCCCCAGCCCCCTCCTATACACACTTGTCCTAAATCGTCAGCTGGAGGAGGAAAAGACCATGTGTGTTTATTCACAGTGTGCACTCAGCTCCTACCCAATGCCTAGCACTTATCAGATGTTCAATAAGTTGAATGAATAAATGAAAATGTCTGCAGTCTAAAAAGTCTCAACCCATGATCACTGAGTACATTCTATCCTGGGGAATAAAGAATTTGGTTTTGCTAGAATTAAAAATAAAAAAAGAAGGCCCGTCCATAACAGCAATTCCCTGGTTTTCTTGATAAGTGAATTTGGGCATGGAGAACCCAGGGAGAGACAGTCTGTTAAAGCAAACCCAATTACCACCCAGGAACATATGTTGCCCTGAGGTCTCTGCTGCCATAACAGCATTGCGTAACTATAACTACAGCCCTGGAGGCTCTGGCCCTGTCAAATAAGGAAAAGGATGTCTTCATTGTATGAGGGCTTTGTGCTCAGATTGGCTTCCCCAGGGAGCTTGGATGGGGAAAGGGAGGTAGATAAGTGGAAGAAAGGGGGAGATGAAGGGCAGGAGTGGGAGAAGAACTGCTACTGAATCAGGATCAGAGTGATTTTTTTTTTTTACTTTTAGCAATTTTCAAAATGCAGTTATTTGACTATTTAGTTTTGGCCGTTATTTATAACCCCAGCTACAGAGGTGGGCAACAGTGACTGAGCCTGCTGGGATCTGTCCAATACCTTCCCCCAGGGCGGGGCTGGGGTGGGTGGTGGATAAGGTGATCCAAGAACCAAATTAACAAGTGACCAAGAAGGTAAGAGAAGTTTCAGGCCATCTCCAGCAAGAGTAAGAAAGGAGGGACCACTAATGACCTCACTGATTCTATTTTTTTCAATTAAAAAAAAGTATTTACTTACTTGTTTATTTATTTCTGCTGACTGTTTTTAAGGCAGCTGTGAGTGAAAAGATTTTAATATGAATTATGGTCACATCAGCAAATTCTGAGATTCTTGCAGAGGGACAGAGACTAGGCCAATACTTTTACTCAGAAGTTGCGAGATTGGCCTGGCTACACTAGCATTGTCTTTAAAAGGTCAAGGTATGCTCTCCCACCCTACAGGACAGTTATCTGCACACGGAGGAAACTGCTATCCCTAACCCCTCCTGGTCAAAAAGAGGCTTAGAGGTGAGAGGGTGGCTGGTTCTGTGCAAGTCTTTCCTAACTGAGCCAACACCTGGCAGAGGCCACACCATTTACCGAGCCCTTTTAGATGCCAGCAAGGGAGAAGCTGGAGACGATGTGGCCAGCCAGGCAAGGCTCCCAACCTCCAGGAACTCCCAGGCCTTTGAAGCAAACAATGGACAACTACACTTTGTATTTGAAATATGGTACCCACCATTTTACTGGCAAGGGGAGCATTTGAAAGGAAATTGAAGGATCTTTTAGGGAGCTTCAAATGAAACTGAGGAGACAAGATACAGGTATGAGAAAGAAACTTCATAAGAACATACACAAAAGATTACCCCCGCTACCCCTGCCCTGTTTGGTTCCTCCTCAGCTCTGGGTAAGGGTATTATTATGGAAGCATTCTGACTGGTCTCCCTGCCACTCTGATCAGTCCCCCTCACAGCTTTCAGAAAAAGATCTCTAAAGTTCAAGTCTAATCGTGGGACTCCTCTGATTAAAGTTCTTCAGAGATTCCCCCTCACCTCCAGCCCAGGCTCCTCAGCAGGGCATTCAAGGCTCTGCATGAACTGGTTCCCAAAACCATTCATGCCTCTTCTTATGTCAACCACTCCAAATCCAGTCATGCCCTTAGTCACACACACACCGTACTGCTCCACACCTCTGTGCTTTTTGCACATGCTGTTCCCTCTGCATAGGAAGCCCTTACTCTCCTTGTCCGCTGGCAAACTTATTCGTCCTATGAAGTTCTACTCGTTTCACCTCCTCTATGCATCCTTTCCTAAACTCTCCTGATAAAACCGTCCACTTCCTCCTCTGTAGCACTTCTGAACCTTGCTCATCTTTCTATTTTTCCATTAATACCCTTATAGTGTTTTGGAACAACAAGCTTACTGGCCTGGGGAAACACGATGTTTTATCCATCTTGCTTTGACTCAATGCCTGACATATAATGCCTGGGTAATCAAACATCGAGACCATATAAAGCTATATTCACAAACATTAAGATGTTACTGCCATAACTAGGGTAACTGGAATAATAAATATCAGTAACAACAGCCATTTATTGCCAGAGTAAGAGCACTTACTCTGTCAGGAACTGTGCTAAGCTCTCTATAACAATCATTTCCTTTAATCCTTATAACAACCCTGTGAAGTGGCTATTCGCATCTCCACTTCACAGATGAGAAAGCTCAGGCACAGGTAAATTTTATAACTTGTCCAAGAGCAATGCAGACAGAAAGCGACAGAGCTAAAATTCAAATCCAGATCTGACATCAAACCCTGTACTGGACGCTAGAAGACCTGATGAGTAAAACAAAGAGGAGTTATGTTCCTCTTACTTTTTAGGGAAGGAGAGAGGGAAACAGAACATCTACCAAACTGTATAAGGAAAAGTACACATAAAGCAGTAAGTGCAAAATAACATAAATCACTATGCCCTAATACCTTAGGAAGAATAAATCAGGAAAGACCTTCTGAAGAAAGTAAATATTAAAGAAGGTTGCGAGATGCATCAAGGCAGGAAGAAAAGCCTGTGTGAAAGCATAAAACAGGAAGAGCAGTGGAGCTACCCATGTGAAGTCTGGCGTATGAGTATGGGCAGGGGGCAACTGGTAAAAGGCTTTGAAACGAACATCAGTTCCTGCTTTGAGCAATAACTGTATCATGATGAAAATAAAACTCAAAGTAAAGATTATGTTTGGTTCAAAAAAAGAAAGGAAGAGAGCAAAAAGCTTTTAGGATTTCCCCTTCCCCATTCTAAATATACCTAGCTAAAAAAAAAAAGGGACTTCCCTGGTGGCACAGTGGTTAAGAATCCGCCTGCCAATGCAGGGGACACAGGTTTGATCCCTGGTCCAGGAAGATCCCACATGCCAGGGAGCAATTGAGCCCGTGTGCCACAACTACTGAACTACTGAGCCCACGTGCTGCAACTACTGAAGCCCATGCACCTAGAGGCTGTGCTCTGCAACGAGAAGCCACCGCAATGAGAAGCCCACACACCACAACGAAGACCCAATGCAGCCAATATATATATATATATATATATATATATACATGTATATATATATATACACACACACACCTAGCTGTTTGACTTTCATCTTTAGTATACACCTTACGATCACATTTCTACCTTCTTGGTGTTAGTTTTTTCATCTTTCTGCCAGAGGGTACACCTTCCCAGGACAAGAACCATGTCTAAAGGAAACTGTAAACTCTTTTAATGCTACCTGCAGTGTTTGAAAATTCGGTGTAAGGGATTAACTAATGTTGAACATCTGTAATGCTGGTGTTTGTATTTTGAATGGCTAAGTCAGGATTTTATTCTAAAACACTAATTTCTAGGGAGGGATACTTCACCATCTTTCAGTGCTATACATTCAGAGACTGTGAAACAGTAAACATATTCTGATTGACTAGCAAGAATTTACTGTACATAGAGCGTGGTCCGGGTACTATTTATTTATTTATTATTTTTGGATGCGTTGGGTCTTCGTTGCTGCGCGCAGGCTTTTCTCTAGTTGCAGGAAGCCGCGGCTACTCTTCGCTGCGGTGTGCAGGCTTCTCACTGCGGTGTCTTCCCTTGCTGTGGAGCACAGGCTCTAGACGCACGGGTTTCAGTAGTTATGGCGTGTGGGCTCAGTACTTGTGGTTTGCGGGCTCTAGAGCACAGGCTCAGTAGTTGTGGCACATGGGCTTAGTTGCTCAGCGGCATGTGGGATCTTCCCAGAACAGGGCCTGAACCTGTGTCCCCTGAATTGGCAGGTGGATTCTTAACCACTGTGCCACCAGGGAAGCCCAGCTCTGGGTAATATTAAGGATGGTATAAAAAAAATGAGATATGCTGTTAACATTAGAGCTCCTTACCAATAGTCGGGGAGCCACAACATCCAACAGTAACCTCAGGAACACTCCAGTAAGTGCAAAATAACAGTAATAGTGTGAAATTAAATGCTTAAGTCCTGAGGGGATACAAAAGAAGAAACATGAACCCTTTCCAAACAAGCTCTTATGTACAATTCAACCTAAGTAAATTATTCAAAGGTATTTATAGTAAACGTTAAAAGCTAAACACTAAATACTAAAAGCTTCCTGTGTTAACACCAGCCCAGGATATCTCCAAGGAGAGTACTAACCAAGGGTCTGGAACTTCAATTCTTCAGCGTCCTCTGTTCAGCACATTAATCAGTTGTTTACCTTCTGCGGCTTTGTTCCTTAGCTCAGCTCCAGGGGGAAATCTCCATCTTACCTACCCTCAGGTGAAACTGGGGTCCAGGATCCTAACTTAATGACTGAGCTGGGCTGGATTCCACCCATGAGCTCTGGGCCAAGCCTTGGTCTTCTCAAGGCTTTTCTTCCAGCGAGGCTAAATCCTCAATGCCTGCTGTCCACTTCCCAGCCTTTTCTTATGACTCTTCTAGCCTTACATCTTCCAAAACTTCTTTCAAGGCGCTCTCACTATTATTTAAAAATCAACGCCTTTCTGAGCTCCAGCTTTACTAAAAATATTCCTTCCTCTTCGCCCTTCCCCCAACTCCTGGCTCAAGCATCTGCATTCGAGAGGTCACTTGGGCTAACGGGTTCAATGCTTCTCCGGCTCTGCTATGGCGCACACTCTCACCCTGCGGGCCACCCAAGGCTCTCAAACCCATACCACAGAACTAAATTGGTAATTCTTTGGAGCTACAGCTTCTGGAGAATGGTTCTGTCTCCTTTCGCGAGTGATCGGATTAACTTACTTGCTGTTCGCTAAGGGCAAGGACAATGTCTCCTCTACCAGACAAGAAACTTCCCGATGATAGACGCTACCCTTTCGTTCCTTTCACAAGCCCCCATTCTCACCACTTTGAGACGCAGGATGGCTGTTAAAATATAGTTTCTTCTGCAAAATACCCCTTCCCAACTTTGAGTTTACGTCATAAACGGAAACGTCCTTTAGCCAATTCGGCGACGAAGGCGTTAAACCTCAGCAACCTGATGGATTCTGGGGCTTTCCTTCTCCGACTTCGGAAATGAAAACGACCGGGAAGGGAAATGTTGCCCAAGGTAAAGATGAGAACCGTTAACTTCAACTGTCGGGCTTCTGCCCCAAACAGGAATGGCTACCCACGCCTACAAAGGGTGCCATTCCCCTAACTAAACACGGCTCACCCCGGTTTCCACCATCGGTGTCACTTCCTGACCAAGTCCAAAATGGCGCTCAGTAGCCTCACCGGAGGAGCGAACCTCCCAGCATCCTCTCTGACCCGCAACGTCAGGTGACGCGAACCCCAGCCGGAAGTAGAGGAAAAAGCGCCTCAGCCCGCGGCGCCTGCGCAGAAGGCTGTAGACGCTGTGAAGCAGGAGGCACTTGGGATCGTACGCAGGATTGGGACTGCTACAGAGGCCGCCACGGAGCCCGCCGGAGCCACCGTTCCTACTGCTGCTGCCGCCGCTGCCCGAATCGGAACCGTCGGGCCGCAGCCGCCGGCAATGCCGCGAAGGAAGGTGAGAGGAACGAGACAGGAGGGATGGCGGGTTTCTAAGGACAGTCTTTTGAGCAACGTGACGCAGTTGGCCACGCCTCACAGTGGTTGGATTCCAACTTCCCGCTCCCCCGAACCTAGCTCAGCAACCCTCTCTTCTGTCCATACCCAACAGAAAAATGTGGGCCCGACCCTGGCCTCGGCCTATGCTTGCAACTATTCCCGCCCTCTGCTTGCCTGGCTCGGAGGCGTTCTTCTCGTTAACTGGTCGCTGAAACGTCTAGAAGCATATTGATTGGCTGGTGACACCGCCCATTTGGGCTCAACGGTCACCTCCCCGCGTGTGGGGGCGGTGTCTGGGCCCGGCCCCACAGCTCTCCTACTGGCGGTAGAGAACGATCCCTTTTCTCTTGATTGGCTGGGCTTGGCAGTCTGTCCTGTGGGGGCGCGGTTTAGCGGGGCCGCGATTGGGTGGCACGAATCCCCCTCTCTTCCGTCTGGAGATGCTCATAGGAGGAGAGGCGGGGTTTCGGAGCATCCTTCCTTTCCCCGCGGGGGACACAACAAAGCAGAGGACTGGGTGGTGGAGAACCAGCGCCCACTCCCAAGGGATCTCACTCTGGCCTGTTGCTCCTACGCTGTAATTATTATTGTTTCCTTAGTTGGACAGCGCCTAGAAAATGCAGTTCGTAAAATCAGAAACTTTGTAGAATTAGATGGGACTTATGAAATCACCTAAGGACACTCCCATCCCTTCTTTTCTCAGCTAAACAGAGGCTTATTGGAGTGCCCCAAGCTACTCAATTAGGCAATGGCAGAGCCAGGACTGCAGAACAAATCTAATTTAGTTCAACAAATGCTTATTGACTACTTGCTACGTGCTGGTTGCTGGGGATTCAGAAATTAATTAGACGTGAACCCTGGCTTAAGGAAATCAGAGTCTGATGGGGAAAACAGACATATAAATAACTGTAGAAGGATCTAGTAAATTCTCTACTTGGCAGTAATGTACAAAGCTTAATGTCAGAGAAGTGGGAGAGCAATTAAGTCTGTTCTGGAATAAGATGAGAAGTAGATTGGTGAAAGCCAGAGAGAAGAACTGAGTTCTACAGTCAAGCCAGGAAGGGATGGTCAGAGATGATCAGGGATTCAAATATCTGGGTAATTGGACTAGATGACCTTTAAGATTCCCCCTTTTATCCTGTCAATTTTCTGTGACCCTCTCTGGGGCCTCCACTCATTATCTGGGCAGATTAGACTTGAAATATTTGGAAAATTGGGTGGTATTGTTCACTTCTGAAGAAATGTTTCTCTTCACAGAGGCTTTCAAATATTTACACTTTTTAATGTCTCCTAAAATGACGTACATTGACAGGTGGTATTTATGTTAAGGCTTACCAAATGCAGGAATAGTACTGGTGCCTTGGAATAGGCCCACAGTCCCCTTTCTTCAATTCCCATATACAAAGAGCTCTTGAAAATGTAGATTTTCTAGTAACTTATTTGGTGACAAAACCTGTCCTAAACTGTCCTGAGTTTTCGTGTGTCTCATTTAGTGTGATTGTTTACATATTTTGCTGCAGAAATGGTGTTATTTGCAGCATATATGCAAATTATTCCCTTTCCAAAATTCTAAAAAGTTATGAATTCTAAATACAGCTGGTCCTGAGGATTTTGAATAAAGAATTGGGGACTTGTAATTTGAAACTTTGGTGTTTTTTTGTTTTTTATTCTTTTAGCAAATACATTTCTCTTTCTGGTTTAGTAAAAGGTATAGTGTTAATGCTCAGTTGATAAAAGTTATCTTTATGGTTAATCATGCCTCAGGAGGCTAACAATTGACAAATAATTATTTAAAAGATGATTTTTTTTTTTTTTTTTTTTTTTTTTTTGCGGTGCGCGGGCCTCTCACTGTTGTGGCCTCTCCCGTTGCGGAGCACAGGCTCCAGACGCGCAGCCTCAGCGGCCATGGCTCACGGGCCCAGCCGCTTCGCGGCATGTGGGATCTTCCCGGACCGGGGCACGAACCTGTGTCCCTTGCATCGGCAGGCAGACTCTCAACCACTGTGCCACCAGGGAAGCCCTAAAAGATGATTTTTAAAAACCTTTTGTTTTTGCATACCTATGAGTCTTCATGTGCAAGCCGCTCCCTTCCCCGCTTTCTTAAAGCACTTCTGCCATTCATGTGGAGAAACTTCAAAAGTAGATAAGAAAGAAGAATGTTACTCTTTTTCTCCTTAAGTTCTTTTGGGATCAGAGTTGTGGAGCATGACATTTTGAATTAGTGTGTAGTTTTTAAAAATGTAATAGCTGTTGATGGAGACTTTGTACAAAAGCTACTCTGAATTTCAATGGGGTCTAGTACTAACATTTTTCTCATTACTCTGGACTTCCTGTAAGTACATGGTTATGTCAACCGATCTGTTTTGAGTAGAATACTTTCCAGTTTGTGGTACTGACCTCCAGATGGACTTGTTTCAGAATTAACGATAATACAGTAAGAATTCTCTTTCTGTGTTTATTTAATAAGGGTGCATTATTTGTAGGTTGTTTCATTTAAATGCTCTAAATAAAGGAAAGTTGTCTGTGGAATCCTTTCTTAGGTTTGAACTTGGTGTTTTCAGTATCACAGTTCGTTTTTTTCCCAGTGTTAATTCAGACCCACAGAGTAAATGTTTCTGTGCTAATGTTTGGATCTATGGTGTTACAGAGGAATGCAGGCAGTAGTTCAGATGGAACCGAAGATTCCGATTTTTCTACAGATCTCGAGCACACAGACAGTTCAGAGAGTGACGGCACATCCCGGCGATCTGCCCGAGTCACCCGCTCCTCAGCCCGACTAAGCCAGAGTTCCCAAGGTAAAAGGCGGCTTCCTTCTTCCTGACCACACCTCACAGCTGACTGGACATCACATTATGGTGCTAGTTACTGTGGAAACTGGTCCCATGTCTTGATGTTGATGACAGAATCTGGTAAAATGCAGAGTAAATGACTGCGAAGTATCAGGTTTTTAAAAATGGTTCTGTTGGGGGTACTGTCCAATTTGTAGACCCAAAGGAACTATGTCTGGTTTAATAGGTGTGTGACACATGTATGTCCTGAGTCATTTAATTTTTTATATATTACTGTTTCCCTATCAGTAAAATGAGAATGCTATCTTTTCACTTTCGTTAGAATGGTTTAGACCTAGGGACTTAAAATAGTCTCTTGAACTTGTTATTATAGGAGGCCCAATACTTTTAAAGCCACGTTTAATTCTGTAATATAGTCAGGTACAGGTAATAAATATAAATAGTTGACCTAACTATCAATTGTAAATACCCAGAATTTTGCTTTGGTAGTAAAGAACAGAGAATCTTGGTGTCAGAAGGTTCTCTAGTGCAATTAGCTTTCTGGGCTTAGATTTGGAGGGTACCCCTAAACCCTCTTGGCTCTGCTCTGGGATTCCCTGGGGAAGAAAGAAAGTTATAATGAATACAAAAAGCTGATGATCAACAAGCGATATTAAGTTAAGAGGGAAAATATAATATACTTAGAGCGCTTAAACAGTGTTGATTTGGTTAGTGCTTTGTATAAGGATGTTGCAAAATGAGAGAAGAACATCTCTTCTTTCAAGCAAGAAAGTGGGAACATTCTCAGCAACTGTTCCTTACTTTATTTTTGAATCTAATATTTGAGCTGAAGTATAGATGTTGTCTCTTGATTTCTCAACTTTTAAGTTTTATCTTTTGGCATAATGGGAATATTGATAAATGGCTACTATAATTCAGGTACTATGCTATGTACTGGAATACCATGATAGAAAAATCATACTTCCTGCCCTCAAGGAGCTCACAGTTTAGTTCGGGATGTAAACTGGTATGGTAATGCATTGTGGAACCGGCTCTGAGAGAGGTTTGCATAGAGTACCGTGGAAGCCCAGATATGGAAATCTTACGGGATCTAGTAGGAATTTACAAGTTGAAAGATGGGAAAGTGTTATTATAGGTAGAGAGTACAGTATATGCAAAGGAATGGGCATAAGTGTTCTTAGAAAGTATAATTGATCATGCCCTGGACACCTGAAAGTTGTAAATATTCAAAATAGCTAGGAATTACACGAGCTCCGGGTCTCTTTCTAGTTATACTTTATGACCACTGAGTCACACAACTCCATGGGGCACCGTTCACAGTGTGGTCCATGTAAGATGACCCTCTCTAAAGCAAATGTAGACTATCAGTACATTGTGAATGGAGCCCCCTGGAGGTATGCAAACTGAAAACCTAGCTGTGTGCTAACTTTTACACAAGAGTTGGAGAATTTCAGTTTTCTTCTTTGCAGAATCTGTAAGATATACATGTTAGGATTTTTTGTTGATTAAAATATGCTTTAATTTTAGCTCTGAATTTCTTTTATTCCTTTTTTGAGTGTCATCAGAGTAGAGATGAGAAAAGGCTACTGGGTGCTTCAGAATAGACTTCTCTATCCAAAAGAATTTTAGAAGTTGTAATCTTGCCTTGCCCTTTACGAATCTAATACTATTTTGCTTTAGGGTATCAGATAGGGTAATCAGGAAGAAAAAAAAGAGATCCTTAAGGAAAGGAAATATTCATATATTGATATACCTTTAGTAGTAGAGCATCTGTTTTCTGGTGGGTTAGATAAAGGAAGAAAGAGAGGACGTAGCTAATATTTATAAAGCACTAGATTTAGCTACCTAGGGATCATGTTAGGTGCCTTACATGAATTATTCCACGTATTCTCACACAAAATGTATGAGGAATATGCTACTAGTTTTGCCCCATTTTTTATAGATCAGGAAACAGGCTTGGAGAGATTAACTTGCCCAAGATGCCACAGCTAGTTAGTATGATGAAGTGGAATTGAATCACGTTCAGTCTTGATTCCAGAGCCTAAACTATTAATTCCTTGCTGTATTGCATCTCTATACCTGATCTATTTTGCTTATATTTAGTTCAATAAAATGGGTATTTTGAGGATTTGTTGGATTTTGTGAAATATGAAGAGGAGGGCCTATGTGCTAATAAGTCATACCACTGGGAAATAAAACAGATTTCCTTCTTTTTTCTTTAATTGTTTTATTGTTTTTAAAAATCGGGATCAGATTCCAGTCCTGTTCGAAATTTGCAGTCTTTTGGCACTGAGGAGCCTGCTTATTCTACCAGGAGAGTGACCCGTAGTCAGCAGCAGCCTACCCCAGTGACTCCGAAAAAATACCCTCTTCGGCAGACTCGTTCATCTGGCTCAGAAACTGAGCAAGTGGTTGACTTTTCAGATAGAGGTGAGTGGGTGTGGTATGATTTGGACCCATTACAGAGAGGGTCTAGTCAGTTTCCTCTTAAGGGAGGCTTGGAGCCACTGCAGATAGATAGATGCCCAATACAAAATTCAGCTAGGTGAATGCTGGTGTGTCTGATTCCTTTTTTGTGTCTTGCTGAGGTCAAGTTTGGTACTCTAGTACTCTTGAGGTCCAGAGTAGCTGGAATATATTTGATTGGACCTGCAGTAGGCAAAAGGGACTGGGTACCTCTTACCCACAGATGAAGAAGGCTTAAAGCACATTTTCTTACAGCCTGCTTGTCAGTCCATTTATCTCTGAATTTCTGAAGAGGAGTGACCCATCAGTAATGGGGAATGGTAAGGTATTGAGGTTGTGATTCAGCAGCCCAAATCAGAGGCCTTAGATGAAAGGCTTTAGGCTTATAGCCTGCCAACACCCCACGGCATGTGTAACTTCCCCAACCAGGGATGGAACTGGCGGCCCCTGCAGTGGAAGCTCAGAGTCTTAACCACTAGACCACCAGGGAAGTCTGGTCAGCTGGTTTGATGGAACCGTATTTACTTTTTAAAAAAAGTTTTGTTGCCAGTATTTGAAAAAACAAAGATTTCATGTAAAAACCTGAGTTACTAGTTTCTTTTAAAAAATGGAAAGCTCTGGGAACATTAGGTGGCCATTCACCACAGTAATAATTGGCTGGAACTGAGTAGTAGTTGTCCCCTTGAGAGGGACAGTCAGCTCTCGATTTGGCCTTGCTCAGCCCCGGTAGGCATTTGGTTTGCAACCCCTAATTTAGAGTTAGTCAGGTCCATTCACAGTCTCACACCAAGTCTGTTCAGTGTCATCCAGAAAGAACCATTTTCGTTTATCTTCCATCCTGTGTATCTCCTGGAAGGAGAGTGGGGTGGTAATGTTTTTTAAAGATTTATTCCCATCCAGTTTTGATTACCCATGATTTGGGGCTTGGGAGAAACACAGATAAGTAAAATGCATTAGGTAAACTCCAAATGGAATTTTAGTCAGGATTTAAAGTTGCAAAAGAGGAATGATGTTATTAGTTTCTCTTCATTTTCTATTTAGTTTTATGGCAGATAAGTGGCTAAAAGTTACTGGTTAAATCGTAGAAAGAGGGTCTTGGAAAGCCCATAAGCTCTTCTGAATATAATAACCCTCTAAATAAAATAAACCCCATTCATGAGTTCTACCAATTGCTTTTACTTTAGAAACTAAAAATACCGCTGATCACGATGAGTCTCCACCTCGAACGCCAACTGGAAATGCCCCTTCTTCCGAGTCTGATATAGACATCTCCAGCCCCAACGTTTCTCACGATGAGAGCATTGCCAAGGACATGTCCTTGAAGGACTCAGGCAGTGATCTCTCTCATCGCCCCAAGCGCCGCCGCTTCCATGAAAGCTACAATTTCAATATGAAGTGTCCTACACCAGGCTGTAACTCCCTAGGTAAGTGTGCCCAAGCCTCATGACACCCTGTGATATGTGGTTCTCTCTCCCTCTGGAATTAGGATCACCCAGAAATGTTCAGTGTTCCATTGCGACTTAGCTTCTTAGGCTCTTCAGTGATCACTCCTCAGAATAACTCTGAATTGCCCGCTTGAATAAAAGCATCTTTGGGACTTCCCTGGTGGCGCAGTGGTTAAGAATCCTCCCGCCATTGCAGGGGACATGGGTTGCAGCCCTGGTCCGGTAAGATCCCACGTGCCACGGAGCACCTAAGCCCGTGCGCCACAACTACTGAGCCTACACTCTAGAGCCCGCAAGCCGCAACTGCCAAAGCCTGCATGCATAGAGCCCATGCTCTGCAACAAGACAAGCCATCGCAATGAGAAGCCCACACACCACAAGGAAGAGTAGCCCCTGCTCTCTGCATCTAGAGAAAGCCCGCGAGAAGCAATGAAGACCCAACGCAGCCAAAAAAAAAAGCATCTCTGCTTCTTGGCCTCTTATCCATAGTAACAGATTTGGTTACAAGGAAATTAACTGTGATGGGCCATTCAGTTTATTGAGAGCTTTTCCCAGTGAAAAATTCTCTCATTTTTCCAGCAAAAACAAAACAGAAAACCAGTTATCTCTAAATATCTCATTGTGCGGTGCTTCGTTCAAGCTTACTGAGGACTAATAGACTGTAAGTTAGTGATGAATAATGGTTGTATGGCCATAGCTATTAAGGAAATGAGAAAAACAGATTTTTTTGGTCAAGAGGTTCTGAAGGTAAGGAGTACAGATGAGACCCTGGCCTTTTGTGACTTCTGTAATTTTAGGTCTTGTGGCTTTGTGTGCTTTAGTAAGTATAAACTAGATAAGCATTTCTTCACAGATAGATGAATATTTCATTATTTTCTTATGACTTATTTTTCCCCCTTACTGAGGGATTCTAGTAATGGTTTAAAAACCTTATTTGTGCTCCTTAACTGAGATTAGGTGCAAATGTTGGGCTAAGTTTTTGTCTAGAGTTGAAAGGTGCTGATTGGAAGATAAGGGGCCTCTCTTTCTATCTACAAATTTAGCCTTTGGGGACTTCCCTGGTGGCGCAGTGGTTAAGAATCCGCCTGCCAATTCAGGGGACACGGGTTTGAGCCCTGGTTTGGGAAGATCCTACATGCCACAGGGCACCTAAGCCTGTGCTCCACAGCTACTGAGCCTGCACTCTAGAGCCTGCGAGCCACAACTGCAGAGCCCATGTGCCACAGCTACTGAAGCTCGCATGCCTACAGCCCGTGCTCCACAGCAAGAGAAGCTGCCGCAATGAGAAGCACACACACCACAACAAAGACCCAACACAGCCAAAAATAAATAAATAAATAAAATTTAGCCATTGAATGTGGCCACCAGGTTCAGAAAAAAAGTAGAACAGAGTAAGTTGCTGCTTTGCAGACCACCAGTACATTTTCCCTAGTATTTTATTTATTTGGATCCTTTCCTGGTCTTAGCAGCAGTTTCTTAGGTAATTTCAGGCCATCAAAATGCATAAGTAAAGCAAAAGTTCCCCTGAACACTACACCAGTTGTTACTCAAGGTAGTTGTTTCAGGCCTAAATCAATTTCCTTGAGATAAATAATGAAAAACTAAGAATAGACAGTATATAAACACTAGTACAAGAGATAGCTAATATGCTTTCAGACAGTAAGAGGATCTCATTGCCACACAGCAGGAGAAGAATTTTCCTCAGCTCTGCTTGTTGGTATCCACGCATCCTTAGATTGTTACTTTTATTTTATGTACTATGTGTAATCAGTCATTCAATACTTATTGACTGTTTTAAATTCTGGGGGTGGAGTTGTGAACATGTCAAATTCCCTACCCTCATGTAGCTTATAGTCTAACTGGGGAAGGCAAAACAGATGTGTAATACATCAACTGGAGATGTATGCTTTGAAGAGTAGGATACTGCACATACAAGCGTGTGTGAGTTGGGAAAGCCACTCTGATATGCTGATATTTGAGCAGAAACCTGAGATAAGTGAGAGAGTGAACCATTTGAGTATCTGGGGGATAAGCATTATGGTAGAGGGAACAGCAAGTGCACAGGGTCTGGGGCAGGAGAATGCTTAACCACTTTGAGGAGTATTTTTTTGGGAGGGTTGGGGGTGCTGCGCCGTGCAGCATGCAGGGTGTTAGTTCCCTGACTAGGGATCAACCCGTGCCCTCTGCACTGGGAGCACAGAGTCTTAACCACTGGACCTCCAGGGAAGTCCCTTTGACGAATACTTTAGGGGCCAATATGCCTGAAGCAGATAGACCAGAATGGGGAGGAGGAGACAGACCAGAATGAGGTTAGAGTGGGGGACTAATTCTGTGTTATTTATGTCCTGGACTCAGCACCCTTAATGTGGTAGAGACCAGAGAGTAAGTATAAATCTGCTGCATCACGGGAAAGTTTACTTGACTTTTGGTTTTAATGTATTGGCGAAGATTGAAAAGTATGAACCAGAGCTTCCAATATTATTCTGGATCCTGTTCCACTCTTCATCTTAGGCAAAACAGTGTCGTTAATTTTTTTTTCTTGGTAATTTTGGTATGAAAGTAGGATGTGCTTTTGAAAAATTAAAACCCTACAGGAGATCTTGAGTGCTAAGTAAAAGTTCTCCTTCACTCATATCCCCAGAACCATGCCCTAGATATAATACTACTATTGGTAGTTTTTTATGAATGCTGATAAGTTTCTATACATATATAGCACACATGTATATGTACATGTATTTCTTTTTTTGTTATTTAGAAAAAGGAAAATATACAGTGGTTTGACATCTTAGATATTTATTGGCACTCAGAGGTCCATCTGTTTAAAGGATATAGAGAATTCCATTATATTGAAAGTTCAGAAATTATTTAAATTGTCCTGTATTGATTGACATTTATATTGTTTCTCATTTTTTAACTTTTTTTTTCTTAAAGCTATTTTGAACAGTACTGTAATTGATAGCCTTGTATGTATGTATTTTGGTGTCTCTAGAAAATCTGCTGGATAAATTCATAGCAGTGGAATTGCTAGGTCAATAGAACAGCTATCATTTTTAAACTTTTAATATAGACATATTGGTTGTAGTTTACATATTATAAAATAAAACAAACTTGAATAATTTATTCAGCAGTTACAGATGCATAGTATCTAAAAAGCTTGCCATAGCGATGATACCTTACATTTTGTACATAGTGTTTGATCAGTGAGGGTAGTATTTTGTGTCTAAGATAAATGTGTGGATCTCTAATATTACGTTTTAAATAATATAGTCCTGGAGACATGGCAGCCTGCATATCATATATTAATTCCCCTCTCCCCCAGTACTTGGACTGTTTTTACCCTTTATTTATTTATTTTTTGGCTGCGCTGCAAGGCTTGTGGGATCTTAGTTCCCCGACCAGGGATCAAACCCAGGCCCTTGGCAGTGAGAGCACGGAGCCCCGACCACTGGGCCACCAGGGAATTCCCTGTTTTTACCCTTTAAAGCTTACTCTGTAAATCTTGTATAATTTTTAAATCCCTTTTAAATGTCTCCTTTACCCCAAGAAAGATAAAGGTTTTTGTAGATTTGCAATTTAGCTTAGCTCACTTATCTTTTTATCTCATTAGCCTTGGCTCACCATCCCTCTCAATCTTAGGTGTTTGATAAACCTTTTGATTGAAGGGACATATAAAAATGAAATAATCAATTCTCTGTGTATTTTCACAAACCACATGAGAAATAGAAAAATGAAGAGATACCCTTTTAGATAAAATGAGCTTTCTGTATTGTTTTTCCTAATATCTTCATCTTCCCTTCTTAAGAGGGCCTTGTGCAAACTTCCTGATTAAAAGTTTGATTATGTATTTTATAAATAAATGAATGAATGAATAATATAAAAGTTTGATTATAGAAGAAGGCTAAATCTTTAAACAAAACCAGCCACCCCTCCAAAAGAATGAATATATTTAATCTGGTCCAAAGTTATCAAGGTATGTTTCCTTATATGATAGAAAAGGCCACTTCCTTCTCCATTTTTCATAAGTTTCTTTTGATTTTTGAAAGAAGTTCAGGGGCTTCCGGGGTGGCGAAGCGGTTAAGAATCCGCCTGCCAATGCAGGGGACACAGGTTCGAGCCCTGGTCCAGGAAGATCCTACATGCCGTGGAGCAGCTAAGCCCATGCACCACATCTACTGAGCCTGCGCTCTAGAGCCCGCGAGTCACAACTACTGAGCCTGTGTGCCACAACTGTTGAAGCCCGTGCACCTAGAGCCTGTGCTCCACAACAAGAGAAGCCACCCGCAGTGAGAAGCCTGTGCACCGCAACGAAGAGTAGCCCTCACTTGCCACAACTGTAGAAAGCCTATGCGCAGCAATGAAGACCCAACGCAGCCAAAAATAAATAAATAAATTTTTTTTAAAAAAAGGACTTCCCTGATGGCACAGTGGTTAAGAATCCACCTGCCAATGCAGGGGACACAGGTTCGAGCCCTGGTCCAGGAGTATCCCACATGCTGCAGAGCATCTAAGCCTGTGTGCCACAACTACTGAGCCTGCGCTCTAGAGCCTGAGAGCCACAGCTACTGAGCCCACATGCCACAACTACTGAAGCCCGTGTGCCTAGAGCCCATTTTCCACAGTAAGAGAAGCCACCGCAGTGAGAAGCCCGTGCACCGCAATGAAGAGTAGCTCCTGCTCACCGCAAGTAGAGAAAGCCCACGCGCAGCAACGAAGACCCAACACAGCCAAAAAAAAAAAAAAAAGTTCAATTCAGATTGTATAACATTGCATAACAGAAAGGAAAGTACTTACTATACATATGACTTGATCAGTTTAGCATAGGAAAGTTAAATTCCACCAAAAGAAAATATTCTTGCTTGTAACTTTGTGCCTTTTATTTTTATTTACTTATTTAAATTTGTTTATTTATTTTTGGCTGCACTGGGTCTTCGTTGCTGTGCGCAGGCTTTCTCTAGTTGCGGTGAGCAGGGGCTACTCTTCCTTGTGGTATGCGAGCTTCTCATTGCAGTGGCTTCTCTTGTTGCGGAGCACAGGCTCTAGGTGCGCAGGCTTCAGTAGTTGTGGCTCGCGGGCTGTAGAGCACACACTCAGTAGTTGTGGCACATGGGCTCAGTTGCTCTGCGGCATGTGGGATCTTCCCGGACCAGGGCTCGAACCCGCGTCCTCTGCATTGGCAGGCGGATTCTTAACCACTGTGCCACCAGGGAAGCCCAACTTTGTGCCTTTTAAATAAGTTTATGGGCTTAATGACATTTTGGAATTTGAGAAAGAATTATCAGAAAAGAAGGAACTATAATTTATACTGAATATATGCAAGTGTGTTCAAAGATTGCTAGATCCAACCTGTGGAAGAAAAAAAATTATTGTGGGTGCAAGTTATGACCCTAACAGCACTTACCTTTGATGGATTTAATCTGTAATCAGACATGTATGTGATAAAATGATACTGTAAAAAAAGGTAGAGAAAAATATGACTTTACAAGCTTAAATCTTTCATCTCAAGATTAAGTTTTTTCCTCCTTTAACAGGACACCTTACAGGAAAACACGAGAGACATTTCTCTATATCAGGATGCCCTCTCTATCATAATCTCTCAGCTGATGAATGCAAGGTAACTGTATTGTCATTTATTCAACATATACTTATTGAGTGCTTACCATTTGCCAGGTACTTTGCTAAACAATGGGGATACAGTGTGAACAAAATGGGCAAGGTCCATGTTCTTACATTCTAGAGGAGGAAACATTATAAAAAACAACTGTGTTAAGAAAAAAAACCAGACAAATGAATTATTCTACGTAGTGAGTGTTTTGAGAGAAATTAACAATGAGATTATCTATGGACTATTTGGAACATCATCCTCCAAGTGCTTTGATATTTTCTGTTGAAAATTATCTTCAAAGATTGCTAGGGACCTTTTCCACTAAGGAATAATTTGCATAAATATGTGATCTCAATATTTATGCATTAGTTTCTCTTCTTATAAATCTATGAGGACATTTTGCTTTTTAAAAGTTTTTCAAAATTCTTTTCCTCTTTCTTTGTCTGTTTCTGTGAAATACTTTTCTTTTTGTTACTCTCAATCACACCTACTCTTGGCTAATTCTTGTCTTACATTCTTGAAAAATATAGTTCTAAATAACCTTTGGGGTTTGGAATAATGGATTTAGGAGTAGAGCCTAAGATCCTATTTTGTATGTTTCTCCATGGGTTGTTGCTACCAAGGAGGAACCAAGAAACTAATTATGGGCAAGCAGGAGTTGAAAATGTTACTAATTAAATGCATTGCTCAGGTAGTATTTGGACAGGTTACCCAAGTTGGTTAGACCAAAGTATTAATTGTCATTTTTATAGTTGTTATTTTGCTAAGAAGGCCAGGATAACAGGTTTATTCCTGTTTGGGCCAGTTTCCTCCTGAGAAAAATGAGATTCCCCAGCTAACATTAATTCTCCCTGATCCAGAAATATGTTCTCTTATTTACAAGTAGACCACAGGAGGGAAAGTTTTGTTCTGTGTTGTTTAGTCTTTCAGCAAAGTAGTATACTTTCAATGCTTACGTGGATTTTGAGGTTGTGGATACTTACTCTTATCTTCCTTCATCCCAGATCTCTAATACAAGCCAGGCAGTTTCTTCTGTTCTCTGTAGAAGTGGTAGGTCTTCCCATTATCTTCCCATTAGTGTGAGACCAGATCAAAACAGGAACAGCTCTTCCAACATCTGCATCAGAAGCTGACAAGTCATTAGGTGCTTCTTCTCTGAAAATAACTGTGAACTCTGGTTTTTGAGAGTTGTCTGTTACCACTTGTCTTTAAATATAACGATCTGATACTATGGATGGTTTTACATAAAAGTCTTCTTAAGGTATAACTTTTTAAATTGTTGGCTAATAGCAGTATGAACATGTTGCCTTAAGCAATTTATTTTTAAAAAAGAAAAAGAGGGCTTCCCTGGTGGCGCCGTGGTTGAGAGTCCGCCTGCCGATGCAGGGGACACGGGTTCGTGCTCCAGTCCGGGAGGATCCCACGTGCTGCGGAGCGGCTGGGCCCATGAGCCATGGCCGCTGAGCCTGCGCGTCCGGAGCCTGTGCTCCGCAACGGGAGAGGCCACAATAGTGAGAGGCCCGCATACCGCGCAAAAAAAAAAAAAAAAGAAAAGAAAAGAAAAAGAAAATTTTCAGTGTGGGGAAGAAAATTCTGAAAAAAGGAACGCATTTCCTGTACTTTCCTCTTTTGTGCTCTTTTTCACAAGGGGAATCAGGCTCAGCATAACCCATCTTTACTACTGGACCATGTGCTTGTGCGGATCAGGAGAATTTCTGAAAGATACATATTTTTATTACATTTAGAATCCCAAATGGAAAGATGAGGCTAATTCCTCACATTTACTAAAAACCCAGAGTTTTTAAAGTACTTGCATGTACAGAATTACTCTGAGTTTTCCAGTAAATGATTGCAATCAGTGATATTACCATTTTATATTCAGTCAAAAGACTGAATTCAATGAGTTTACATTTTCATGGGGGAAGGCAAAATCAACATATAAAATTAGTAAGCAATTAAGAATTTCGTGTAGTGGTAATGCTGTGAGAAATGAAAAGGTTAAACAGAGTGACTGTTTTGGGGGTGACAGGGTTTGGCAGTGCTTTTGCTTGGGCTGTGGAGAAAGACATTTTATCTGAGCCATGGGTGACGGCAAAGAGGCAGTTAGTTGTGTCTAGGTCCTGAGGAGAAGTATGGGCAAACACAAAGGCCGTGAGACAGGGATAAACGGTTGCATTTGAAGGGTGGAAAGTAGGCCAGTGTGGCTGGAACGTGATGGGAAGTGAAGAAGCAGGATCCATATCATGAAGGACCTGTAGGCCTTGGCAAAAGGAGTATGCCTGTGTTCTGACGGCCGTGGGAGGCATTCGAAGGGCTTTAACAGAGGCGTGGTGTAATATCATAAACACTGTTTAAAAATCACAGCTTGCTGGTATGTGGAGAGTGGACTGGAGGGGGCAAGAGTTGACACAGGGTAGATAGGCTGTGTCTGAGGCTTAGGCAGTAGATGGTGGCTTGGTTTAGTGTCATTGTCAGTGGAGATGGTCAGAATTGGTTGGACTCAGGATATGTTTTGGAGGGGGGCAGCCTGATAGAGTTGCTGATGAATTCATTGTGAGGTGGGAGAGAAAGAGAACAATCAAGCATGACGTTCAAGTTTTTGACCTGATCAGTTGTTTAGAAAGTGTTGCTATTTATTGCTACAGGGAAGATTTGGGGTGGAGCAGATTTGTGGGAGAGTGTCAGTCACTCTGTTTTGACCGTGCTGAGTTTTAGTGTTGATGTAGAATAGGGAGTTGGATATGAGTCCTCACTGCCCAGAAGATGAATTTGAGACTTGGAGAGCCAATGTGATTTGTCTAAGGTCATAACTACAGAGTTAAATTTCTCTATAGACTTGATCCCAAGTATCTAACCTTTTCTTTGTACTTCTTTACTCTGTTCTTGCACTTCCTCACACATACTGTTGCACAATGGAACGAGTACAGAGGCTCAGAGTCATCAGACTTACTTAAAATCTTAGCTTTACCACCACCTGGCTGTAATTATTTCACTTCTCTGATTCTCGGATAATGGCTGAGAAAACAGAATGTGAAGCTTGCCTTATCTATTTCTTATAGAGATTGTGATACTAAATGTGAAGACCCTTTGAAAGTAAAAGTACAGTGTAAATTCAAGGGATTACTATTGTATTCTTGCACTTTAAGTAAACGTAGTCTTAGAGGCAGGTGGATTGATTGACGTTGTTGATGGTTGCAGGTGAGAGCACAGAGCCGGGATAAGCAGATAGAAGAAAGGATGCTGTCCCACAGGCAAGATGACAACAACAGGCATGCAACCAGGCACCAGGTACGGGCCTTGTTAAAGCTCTGGCCATTTACAGTTGGAGAGCCAAGTCTTGGATCTCCTCTGCCCTGTCATGGTCTTTAGGTATATCCATGCCTCGTTTTCTATGCTGTGTCTGGCTAACTGGTCTTTGGTCATAAACTTAGAATCGTACTTTTTCCAAATAGTGAATTTTCAAGAAAAAAACTTCTCCCTCATAAAAGAAGGGATCGTGCTACCTAGAATAATAATAATAATGGTAATAATAATATTAGTAATAATAGGTGATCTTGATTATTTGAAAGATTATACTTGCTGCTCTATTTCCTTATTTGCATCCATTTTCTAACCTATTATAATTTACTTTCAGGCCCCTCTGCTCTGGTGGTATGTTTCCAATGTCACCAGTAACTTCCTTAGCATTTGACGCTTGTTGTTTATGTCAGTTTTCTTCTGCTTCTCTTTTCTGTTGGATTCCAAGATGGTGCTTCGCTCTAATCTTTCTGCCTCTCTGAACATTCATGCCCATTGATGACATTTAATTCCTTGTTCCCCCTGAATGCCTTTGGTCTTTCTCTTGCTGTTTTTCTCCCTAGAACTCTATACTTATACCAAGAATAGATTGTGTTTCTCCTTCAAGGCCTTGTGCAACTCTTAGCTGTTGTAGGAATTCTTCCCAAATCTTCTACCATTAATGAATTTCTTCCTCATGTATTCCTATTTGCAGTGTTCTCAGATTGTAAGTTTAGCCTTTGGCCCGTATTATATACACATAGCTCATCATATGGATGTCTGTTTCTGTGGTTAGATTATAAGTGGATAGCAGAGGAGGCACGGTGATGAGGGAGAAGTTTGACTTTGGAGCCAAACAGATCTGGATTTGAATACGGCGATTCTGTTACTCTAGCTGTGTGGTCTTGGGCAGGTCAGCTAACCTCCCTAAACTTTATTTCCTTGAATAATACCTACCTGGCAGTGTAGTCAGCTAAATTATGCATGTAAAGTACCTGTTCCCAGTGCTTGGCAGGTAAAAGCACTCTACACTTGTCTTCATTGTCTATCTTGGGTTCTAAATCAGTTTTTAAATTTTTATTCATTTTCGTATCAGTACTTGGAAAACTGTAAGCATTCAGTAAATGCCTATTGAATTGAAATGATCTTTTATTCCCGTTGCTTCCATCCTTAGTTTATATTCTGTTTGGATCAATATTAAAGTATTATACATTTCCTGAGCTCGTATTAACTGACAGGGTAGTGTTCTAGGTGATGAGAGAACCCCATTTAGAGTTTTAAAATTACCGCATTATTCACAGGGTGCCCGTAATGCATCTGGCGTCCCACCCCCGCCCCCCCACCCCTTCTTTGGTGTATGTTACTTTCATTTAGAAACTTAATTACATAATGAGTTTTCTAGCTAACTTCTCAATTTTCTCCTTCTTTTTAGGCACCAACAGAGAGGCAGTTGCGATATAAGGAAAAGGTTGCTGAACTCAGGAAGAAAAGAAATTCTGGGCTGAGCAAAGAACAGAAAGAGAAATATATGGTGAGAAAATGTTAAATATTTAATTACCATGAACTCTTGCTATCACATTTGATTCCTTTTGGTTACTAAGATTCTGCTTTTCACATTTGCCATTTGGTATGCTCTGTAAGTAACAGGACTCTGGCAGTTAGAGTTCACTATATATAATTCCCCAATAAGAATGGAACTGGGAGTCCTCGAAAAACAAAATACTGTTAGAATTTAGATGAAAAAAAATTGAATCCTTTAGTTTGTAATCCTCACTTTAGGTTTAAAGGGTTAAATTTACCCGCTCGAACAAATACCATGATGTTGGAGATGTCTGTGTAAGGAAGAGTATTCAAGCTAAGCAGTAGTGCATTTCCTGTAATGGAAGAATAAAATACCTACATGATAAAAGGTATTAATTGGGTGATACATTGTATAATAGGTCTTTTTGTAGTGTTTTAATTTATTTTTCTAGTTTTAAAAGTAGTGCACGTTTGTAATAAAAAATATAGAAAAATTAAGGAAAGTATTCAGAAATAAACACTAATCCTACTACCTAAAAATAACCTAAAAATAAGCTAGCATTTTGAGATAAAACTTTCTAGCTTTTTACAATGCCTTATTTACATAGTTTGGATATTATTATAAGTACAGCTTTTAATTCTGTGTTTTCATTTACCTATCTTAAGCTGATTTCCCCGTTTTATTAAAAATTCTTCCAAAATTTTTTTGCACAAAATATTAATTTTTAAGTAAAGATTTATTATAAATATCTTCATAGCGTTTACTTTGAAAATACCAACTATAGAAAAGAAAAATTATAAAAAAATCACCCTCCCAGATATAAACCACTGTTAATGTTTTGGCATCTTCTTCTGATGTGTATTTTTATTTTTTCATGGAGTTGGACTCTTTGTTTACTTAGTCATTAGAATAGATTATTAAAAGTATGGTTTGTGAATACTTAGCATGGCTTCATTAAGACAGAAATATGCCCAACTATGTATTTGCTTTTGTAGCAAATTTACTACCATTTACTACCATCTCCATTTACTCATAAGGGTATCATTTTTAAGACAGTGTGGTAGTCATCACTGTCTTAAAAATGATACCCTTACGAGTAAATGGAGATGGTCCAATTTGAGATATGTGGAGGCTGTGGGGTGAGTTTGTAGCTAAACACCTGCTCCAGACTGTGCTGGGTTTGTAGAGAGAGGGAAGGCTCTAGAAATGGGCTGTGGGGGGGAAGTTGTATGCTTCCCCTCTGTCTTGTTCAGTGTTTTTATCTACAAGTTGGGTAGAGGTGTAATAATACGATAATACCATTTATTGAGTGCTTATGTGCTAGGTAGTCACTGTGGTTATGTTGCTCCCATAATCTTTGTTACAAAGATGGATGGTATTTCACCTGTTTTATAGATGGGAAACTGAGATTTAGAGAGGTAATTTTCCCAGAATCATACAGGTAGAGAGAGTGTCTGAAGTAAAACCTCCTGAAATTTACCTTACATTTGCTTTCCACTAGTTTGGGCTAGGTTATTTGGACTGAACCTTCCTGGTAAAAATGCTGCATAGGATTTTTTAAAGGTTTTTTAAAAAAATTCATGAAACTAGAAGAAATAACTTATACTTAAAACCCAAGTATTAGATAACAGCCCAAATTAAAAAAGATATCCATCAGATGGGCCCAGATTAAGCGGAAGAAATTTTAATTTCAGATTAAGCGGAAGAAATTTTAATAGATGCTGGTGAGTGGTTTCTTCATATGATAATATATGAGCGAAATCTACTGAGTTCTTCCTGGGATGAGCCATCTGCTCCTCTTAACAACCATTATCTTCTGTTCTCTGGGTAGGAGGTGGAGTCTAGGACGGAGTGGGAAGGGCTAGAATCAAAGGTTAAAAGCGAAGTTTCCCCTGTGGAATTTCTTTCTTGTGAAAGGATATTTGTGTAGTGACTGCCATGGTAAGATTTGTTACTTATTTAAAACTGGATTATTTCTATGATTCTAATTTTCTATGTCTGTTCTGTCCCTTGTTCTTGCTTAATATTGAGTAAAACATTTCTCAGAGGCCAGCCTTTTTTCCAGTGCACTTGGGCTGGAGTTCTAAAGTAGGAGCATTATGGTACCTTTGGTGGATCGTGTAGTGGTGGGTGCTGCAGCAGTTCAAGTGAAAGAGTTTACAAAAGACTGCTTTGTCCAACTGCCCCTTCCTACCTGCAGATTTTATTCAGTCTAAAATCTTAGACTCGAAAGCTTAGAGATTCTAGTTTTTATTTGGTTTTGTTTTTAAATGGGGAGTATCCACCAAGGTTCCTTCCAGATTTTAGGATTCTAGGAATTGGTAGTGCCTTTGGGTTTGTTGTATTTTATTTCTTTGTATTGTCACGCACATTTTCAGAGAAAGAAATGGAAGCATAGAGTTCCAAAGAATGAAACTCACTTTTGGAGAGATTATAAGAGCATTTCCTTTCCAGGTTCACTAGGGTGGGTAGTGGGTGTCTTCTGGAATTAATCTGTCTGATAAATAGTTTATTTTGTACTCAATCCCTAGTGCCTAGTATAATGCCTAGCAAATAGTAGGCACTAAATAAATAGCTTATGGTTGTTCTTGGCCCTCTGGTTGGCATCCATTGAAATGCAATAGATTAAGTTCTTAGAAGCAGAGAGTATCATGCTCTGGTTATTTTCCTAGGAACACAGGCAGACCTATGGGAACACTCGGGAACCTCTTTTGGAAAACCTGACTAGCGAGTATGACTTGGACCTTTTCCGAAGAGCACAAGCCCGGGCTTCAGAGGATCTGGTGAGTAGTAAAACCTCCAAGCTGAGGACCACTTGTGAGGGGCACTTGGAACTGCCAAGAAAAATGATTAGCAGTCAATTTGATGGGGATTAAATATACCTTGCTGGTTGACTCTTTCCCCTTCCCCCAGCCATCCTTATTTGAGACTTTCTTCCTTCCCATTCATATTTAAAATTAATTACCCCTCCTCCCTTCCCTCGTCCCTTAAAGTTTTTCCTCCCCACCTCAACTCCTGGAAGGACCTGTTTTGTGGTGGTGGTTAGCTGGGTAAAACAACAGGTATCCCTTTGTGTCAGGTGGGTCATTTGCAATTCCAAGAACCTCTAGACTGGGAGATAACCCCTCTCTGTTGTCCTCTTAACCTAAACAGGAACTCCTCTTTGCAGGGTTGCCTCAGCCCTTCATTACAGCTATAAAAGAATAAAGAGAACGGTGAAGAGGAATAATGGACACAGTTGTTGTCAGATATTTGAAAATTATTCTTTGACACAGCCTAGTTTCATGTATTAAGATTTTCCTCTTCTGATTTTTATTTATAGTTACCATTTAGTTTTGATTCCCTAGGCAGAATTTTCAACAGTTTTGCTTTAAGAAAATTGTGAATGAGGGATCTTGCCTGGTGGTCCAGTGGTTAAGACTCTGTGCTTCCACTGGAGGGGGCATGGGTTTGATCCCTGGTCTGGGAACTAAGATCCCGCATGATGCACGGTGCTGCCAAAAACAAGAATTGTGCTTGAGTTTACCTCGGATTTAATGAATTGAATGTCTTCAAGGAAATTTAGCTTGTAAAGTGAATTTCATCTTCCTCTTTAAAAAAATTATATTGAATACTTTATTTAAAAATTCTCGCATAGACTTGTTGAAAGTTTTGTGGGAGGCAGGGTTTGATAGCTGCCCTTGGCTAGGCTGGGTTGCTGCTGTTGGTTTCTTCTCTCCTACCCTGGAACAGAGCATTTCCTAGGTCAGCTTTTCACAACTCTTTACCTGGTTATTCAAAATTATTTCTGTAGCCAACTCATAGCCGCTGAGTGGGCACAGGCATCCAAAAATATCTTCTACTTTCTAGCTTTAGGTTCCAGAATTAAAGCATCATCCCTCTTTCAAAAATATTTTTTAAAGGACCTAAGCTGAGAGGATGGCTGCCATGGCTGTATGTCATGAAGATCCTCGCAGCTTTATAAAAGCTGCAGATATGTAAAGCACATTCTAGAGAATCTTTTGTTTAGTTTTAGAATGTTTCGTAAAGGTGTAGGGAGTATTTGTGATAGATTTGCCTTTTATCATTCAGTTTGGTTCTGGCTGGTAAAAATAAAATTTTACCAAGGACTTGTTCAGGAGATGAGGCCCAGAGTGTGGCAGGGAGCAGAGAAAAGCCACTATTGAGGTCTGTGCTCTGGGCTGTGCAGATAGTTACATTTTCTGTAAGCTTCCTAGTTCTGGTTATCTATGCTCCTGTAGTTCTCTTCAGTGCAAGTTTCTCGTGAGATAGAAGCCAAATCTGATTTTTTTTTTCTCATAGCCTAGCATGGTGGCGTGCACACAGCTTAACAACAACAGAAATGATCAATTCTAATCCTCCTTTGACTTAATTTCTTGTCTACAACAGGAGAAGTTAAGGCTGCAAGGCCAAATCACAGAGGGGAGCAACATGATTAAAACAATTGCTTTTGGTCGCTATGAGCTTGATACGTGGTACCATTCTCCCTATCCTGAGGAATATGCACGACTGGGACGTCTTTACATGTGTGAATTCTGTTTAAAATACATGAAGAGCCAAACAATACTCCGCCGACACATGGTAAGTTGTTTGGGGGTCCATGACCATGGTGGTGATAAGCTGTGGGATCTCTAGATTTAGACATCTATCTAAGCACCTCTAAGAGGTCCACAGAAATGGGACGAAGGCACAGGAAATTGAAAGCCACATTTCAGAGTCGGGATATACAGCCTGTGGCAAGCCTGGGTGGCCCTTAACCACATCCTGTCATACTCATCTCCCTGTCTTTTTTCTTGCTGCCTGCTCTTGTCTGTTTCTCCCTTGGGATGTGAATTACCTCTGCCCACAGTTTTTCTATGTCTCAACTAGATGAAAATAAATGGACTTCATTAGATAGACCTTCATTAGACAGAAATGGGACGTGACTCACCTTTTGTATCCCCAGCAGCTAGCATGGGCAGTTAATGCCCCATAAATGTGTGTTAAATGAACACTTGCTTAAGAAAGACAAATTATGAAATTAACAGAATGGGTCCTTAGGTCAGCCCCTCCCTTGAGTTGCTTAGTGTTTTCTGGTTTCTGAACGGTCTTATTCCTGTGAAAATAGGAATAAACACTTGAATCTGATTTTATTGTTGACAAATGTGCTCACTAGGTATTTTGCAGTTTTAAGCCATTTTTCTTTCCTTAGTTATGGAATGAAAAGGCTTGTCTTAAAGGGAATTTCTGCCATGGAGCAGGGATGTGGAAGGGTCAGGGGTGGAGATTAGTCTGTCAGGTGGGGAAACCTATCTTTTTTCTTATTTCCATAGTCACAACGTAATTGTGGCTCTAAGGCCTTTTAGGGTGTCTCTTTTCCCTTCCCCTTCCGTCTTTATTTCCCAGGATTTCCACATGCTGAGAATCTATAACCCAGACTTCCTATGATTTCTGTCATAAGACTCTCCTCCCCAGTTTGGTGATAACTGCTTTTTGGTGTTCCCAACTCTGGAGTACGTAGTGGCCCAGAACTGCCACTGCTGATTAAGCCCTCTAGACTCCAGCCCACTAGGCTCCCACTAGACTGGGTGGGGAAGGATGTGGGGAGGGGGGACGGGGAGGGAGGGCAGGTGGGTGATGAGTGAGGACTGGACTCCATGATTGAAGACCATGGAGATAACCTCATTTAGGGTTTGCTATGTGAAAGACTGGTATTTTTACTGATATGAACTGCTTACTATTTGTGCCCTTTTTCTTTTTGTTTCTGTTTTATTTAGTGGCACTAACCAATGAAGTAGCTAAAAGGCAAGAAATAGTAGTAGGGGGAGCAAACAGAGGGCCTAGATAAATCTGAGGATCAAGTAAACATTCTGAATATTTGAGGTTCTCTACTGTATTATATGAGTTACAAAAAGTGAATTTCATGAAATAAACACCTGTTCTAGTTCACACGCCTGAAGATCCCTATTGCTTTAGGCACAACCACGGAAATGGGCTTTCTTTGGCCATTTGGCCAACAGTTTGGCTTCTGTTTCTGAAGATAATTGGTGTTCATTTGCTTATTGTTGGGAAAAGCCAACATGAATAGAGAGGTGGAGATAGGAACAAACTACAGGTGGAGCTTTCTTGAAACAAGACCAGTTACTGCATATGTGGCCTTACATGTGACAAGTTGGGGCATGATTCTTGAGTTGACCGAAAGAGTCACAATAAAATTTAATAAAAAAATATTCCATATACATATGCCTTTTAAATGATATTTTTAAAAGTATTTTACATAAAACCTTTTAAAAATTCACCCATTTACAGCAGTGGCTTCCCGGCTGCATTAAATCTATTAGCAATTGAGGGTGAGGAAAGTAGTACCTTGTGCCCCCTTGTGGCCAAGTCAGTGTCCGTTGTCCTGTCTTCCTCCCTCCTCCGCTCCCCCTGCTTCCTGCTGCTCAACCAGGCTTCCTTGCCTTTTTTTTTTTTTTTTTTTTAAGCCACAGAAGGACATGCTCCTATTTCATTACCGTATAACAAACGGAACACTTGGAGAGGGGGGCATGGTTTTTATCACTGGGTCTGTTTTCTAATCTGAAAAAAAGAAGACCATAATGGTTTAGGTGGTAATGAGAAGTTTCTGGTAAAGGTGAGAGTACCTTTACCTAGCAACTCTCAGCTGCTGGAATTAAGCTGCTTAAGAATTTCCTGTTGGCACAAGGCATTTTATAATAAGCTGGGGTATTTTTTTAAATTTATCTTGCTTTTACGTGGTAGATGATTTTAATCTCCTGGGTTGGAACAGTGCCAGAATATAATCCAGAAAACCTGTTCCAAACTGCTATAAAAATACCATAAATATATTGCAGTGACTTTAGAAACCTTTATTCGTTTCACTAAAAAGAAAATCTGTTTTGCTGTATGTTCTCAGGTTTGTCCACCTGTCCATCTCAGCTAACTAAATTTGACCTGTGATTCCTTTTCCCTTTTGAGCAGCATTCTTACTGGGAAGGTTTGTTTCTCTGATGTGAATTCCATTCTCTTGCAGGCTAAGTGTGTGTGGAAACACCCACCCGGAGATGAGATATATCGCAAAGGTTCAATCTCTGTGTTTGAAGTGGATGGCAAGAAAAACAAGGTAAAAAGTGCTGACATCAGAAAAAGGGGTGAAAGTGTTGTACATTCACAGGTTTCAGAAATTTGTTTTATCTCCATCTCACCTTGTAAAGAAGATAGAACTCTTCTGTTGGCCAAAATACACAATTTCTGCTTCATTAACAATAATGGTATGATCTTTAAATTTTAGGCCTTTATCTGATAAGTATAAGAATCACTGGCCCACACATAAACGTTGTTTCTCTACTTCCAGATCTACTGCCAAAACCTGTGCCTGTTGGCCAAGCTTTTTCTGGACCACAAGACATTATATTATGATGTGGAACCCTTCCTGTTCTATGTTATGACAGAAGCAGACAACACTGGTTGTCACCTGATTGGATATTTTTCCAAGGTCAGCAGGATCTGGAGATTAAGAAGCTGATGACCAGAGCAGGGTGATTGATGTTGGCATATGGTGACGCAGATCACTGATGGAAAGAGGCAGCTCCCTGGGCAATGATGACAGCCCTTTTCTTAAAGGGTGGCGGGGGTGGGGTAGAAATCCACGTATCAAAGATTATTTAATGAAAATGTGCAATTCTTTATTAAAAGCTTCTGATTTATTCATTTCTGGACTTGTGGATTGAAGCTGCCCATTAATTAATGGCCAGGGCCCTGCCTACTAACCCACAAGCCCACATCTTGTAGTCAAGCCAACCAGCTCTCCTGGCTTTGCTCTTCTCTGTGGTATTAGCTTAAAACCAGGAATATGTTCCTTTTGCCTGGTTTTCTAGCTGGGCTCCTTCAGTTGATAACGCCACTGTGCCTTTAAAGACTCAAGGCCAGATTTTGCTTATGACTTTTTAATATAACAACTTTATTGAAATATAATTCCCCTACCATACAATTCACTCATTTAAAGTGTATGGTGTAGTGGTTTTTAGCATGTTCACAGAGTTGTGCAACCACCTGGCAGTCACCACAATCAGTTTTTGTTACCCCAGTAAGAAACCCCATACCCATAAGTAGTCACTCCTCATTTCCACTCATTCCCTCCCAGCCCCACTGTCTCTATCAGTTTGCCTGTTCTGGACATTTCACATAAATGGAATCATGCAGTATGTGATTTAATTGTGTTTTGACCCCCTTCCAGAATGGGGACTTACTGTTTGGATTCCCTCCCTTCTCCAGTAGGCAACACTCTTTTGAAATACTGCTTTTAAAGAGGGCTGCTCTAGACTGACTCAGCGTTCTAAACCTTCTTGCCTTGCTCTGTGCCTGTAAGGAACCCAGAGTCAGCCCCCTTAAGATGAGACTGGAAATCTTAGAGCTAGGGAAACCCTGGGATCATAATAAAGGGTGTGGATGTACCAGCTGTGAGCCTGACAGCCACTCCTCAGGACTAGTTAGCATATATTTTGCAAGCAACCTTGTTTTGTATCTGTGGGACTGCTGATACCTTTGGTTCCAAATTCTCATGACCCACTCATCTGTTTGCTCTTGATTTTAGGAAAAGAATTCATTCCTCAACTACAATGTATCCTGTATCCTTACCATGCCTCAGTACATGAGACAGGGCTATGGCAAGATGCTTATTGATTTCAGTAAGTGAAACAGGAAAGTCATAAGTTCCACAAGCAGGGACCATGTGAATATTGTTGTTTGTCCTTTTGTCCTGTGATCTGTCTATACAGTTCCTGGCATGTAGTGGAATTACACTGGTATTAAGTGAATGTAGTAAGTGGAAGAAACCTGAACATTGTCAGTTGGCCTGATACACATTGAACACTCAAATGAATACAGGACCCTGAGTTGGTACCTAATGGTGGGAGATATAGAGGATAGTAAAGTAAGCTCTTTAGGATTACCCCAGTTTGAGACTTACCGACAGCACATACATGCATAAGGCTTCAAATTTGTTCTTGGGTGTTAGGAATTTTAGTTTTGTAAGCTTTTGTCTAGAGGCAGTCGTCTTATTAATCATGGATTCTGTATTTGGGAATTTGCCTACTCATTAAAATTTATTCATAAGCCCCAAATCAACCAACACGCCCATGGCAGCAAAAAAAAAAAGTCACCATGCATTCCCAGATGAAGTTAAACAAGGTGCCTTGTTTCGGCTCTCTGTGTTTAAACCAGTGTCCTTTTCATGGTCTATTAGTGCCATGTCATTCATATTTTTGTGCCTTTTTAAAAATCTTTATTTATGTGGCTGCGCCAGGTCTTAGTTGTGCAGGATCTTCATTGCCTCGTGCGAGATCTTCGTTGTGGCGTGCGGGACCTTTAGTTGCGGCATGCATGCGGGATCTAGTTCCCTGACCAGGAATCAAACCTGGGCCCCCTGCATTGGGAGCGCGGAGTCTTAACCACTGGACCACCAGGGAAGTCCCCATATTTTTGTGCTTTTTGTTATTGATTTTCTTTTCTTTTTTTTTTTTTTTTGGCCGCGCCACACAGCTTGTGGGATGTTAGTTCCCCGACAAGGGATTGAACCTGGGCCCTTGGCAGTGAAAGCGTGGAGTCCCAACTACTGGACTGGTTTTAAATGGTCCCTAAGCGTAGTGCTGAAGTACTGTCTAGGAAGGCTGTGATGTGCCTTACAGAGAAAGTGCGTTTTATAGATAGGTTTTATTCAGGCATACATTATTGTGCTGTTGGCTGTTAGTTCACTGTTAATGAATCAATGATATGTATTAAATAGGTGTTTTTAAACAGAAGCACATAAAGCGAGGTTATGTATTGATTGGTTGACAAAAATGTGACCAGCAGCCCACAGGAACCTAACCCTGTATCTCCCCTAAGAGCAGTGGTTCAATATTCGCTAATTCAGTGTTCACTGTGACTTTGTAGAATATAACTACTGTAAATAATGAGATTCAACCGTGTTTTATTCGATATTCACTGTAACATGACATATTTTAGTCAAATTAGAATTCTTAGAAACAGCTTTGTGATCCTTTTTTTTTTTTTTTTTTTTTTCGTGGTACGTGGTCCTCTCACTGTTGTGGCCTCTCCCGTTGCGGAGCAAGGCTCTGGATGCGCAGGCTCAGCGGCCATGGCTCACGGGCCCAGCCGCTCCACGACATGTGGGATCTTCCCGGACCGGGGCACAAACTCATGTCCCCTGCATCGGCAGGTGGACTCTCAACCACTGCGCCACCAGGGGAGCCCCCCCCCCTTTTTTTTTTTTAAGCCATCTGGTAAGAGATGAATCAGGAAATGGCATAATCCACTAAGGGTGTGAGGGGATTGTATATCTTTGAATAGGTAACACCTATTTTATAATTGATATTGCAAAGCAGACTCTGCTCCTTAAATCTTTTTCCATGTTGGTACATTGTTCTTACTAGGGTGAGATACAGTGTCTGTATTGTTCCCTGGCAGGTTATTTGCTTTCCAAAGTGGAAGAAAAAGTTGGCTCCCCAGAGCGTCCACTCTCAGATCTGGGGCTCATAAGCTACCGCAGTTACTGGAAAGAAGTGCTTCTTCGTTACCTGCATAATTTCCAAGGCAAAGAGATTTCTATCAAAGGTTGGTTTTTGACTCTTAGAAAATGGTTGTTACTCAAGATGTTAGTTCCACTGAATATTCTGACTTTTCTATTTGGCCCTGTTCATGCTTTGTAACCTGCGAAGAAAATAACCCCATTCTGTGTTTCATCTGAATATGAGAGCAGAAGGCCCACTAATGTGGACCACTCACTAAAGGTGCCTAAGGATTCCAGAGTGTTTGGCCCTTGGGACTGGTTATATGATTTGGTTTCTTGGGACTGGTTATATGATTTGGTTTCTTGGGACTGGTTATATGATTTGGTTTCTTGGGACTGGTTATATGATTTGGTTTCTTACAGAGAAAATGTGGTGGGTTTTTTTGTTTTTAAAATTTTTTTTTTTGAGTTTTGAACTTTATTTATTTACTTATTTTTGGCTGCGTTGGGTCTTCATTGCTGCATGCAGGCTCCCTCTAGTTGAGGTGAGCGGGGGCTTACTCTTCGTTGTGGTGCACGGCCTCTAATTGCAGTGGCTTCTCCCGTTGCGGAGCACAGCGCGGGCTTCAGTAGTTGTGGCTCGCGGGCCCCAGAGTGCAGGCTCAGTAGTTGTGGCACATGGGCTTAGTTGCTCCGCCGCATGTGGGATCTTCCCGGACCAGGGCTCGAACCCGTGTCCCCTGCCTTGGCAGGCTGATTCCTAACCACTGTGCTACCAGGGAAGTCTGAAAATGTGTTTTATAGATAGATTTTATTCAGACATTCGTTATTGCGTCTCAAATCTCAGGTTGCTGACACTTTAATTCTCCACAAAAGTCAAGAAAGAAGAAAAACTTCAAGTCTTTTGGCACACACAGGAACTTCTAACATCCCTGAATATTTGTGAGGATGGGAGAATTTAGTTTGGTCTGTCTTTGACCTTGATTTCTATAGGGGCCAAGTGGTTTCCTGCTGTAATATCCGTCTTCTGTAGTTATTTTAACTGGTCAAATGAATGCTTCGTAAATTTCTTCTGAACAGCTTGGGTCAAGTAGTGAAGATTCCAAACATTTGGAGTCTGCGTCTAGATTTCCTCCAAGGCAAAGGGGGCCTTGGTGGGGCAGGGTGGGGGTGGTGTCTACGTTTTGGCCAAGTTCTCAGTAGCTCTTCTGTTTCAGAAATTAGCCAGGAGACAGCTGTGAATCCTGTGGACATTGTCAGCACTCTGCAAGCCCTTCAGATGCTCAAATATTGGAAAGGAAAACACCTAGTTTTGAAGAGACAGGTAAAGTTACTCTCAGCCTCTTGCTCATTGCTTAATGTCCCTTGAGGCCTAGCAGAGCAAAGTGGGGCCTTCACACCTTACAGGTAACCTTCCCTTAAAGGAGTCTGGCTCTACGCATCCTTTACTTGGTCTCATCGTTAGGCTTATCTTAAGCTCCTGTCTCAGATTTGATGACAGACGTGTAAGCAGCTCCAGTTAAGCAGCTTTATGTCGCACAGTCGCACTTCTATCCTTTGATGATTTTCTTAGATCAGATGAAGAGTGCCCATCTGTGGAGGAGAATCTTCATAAACTCCAGGGCCTGTGGAAGTGGTTTTAAATTCCTTTAACAAATGCCATCTCAACTCATGCCAATTTAAAATTTTTTTAAGTTGACTTATAACGTTTACTGATGGAAGATGAATAATGATTTTCAGGTCTTACCGAAAGCATAGTAAGAAGAAATGGATTAGGTAGGAGAGCACTAGGTAAATCAAAAGATAATTTTTTTTTTATATACTTGTCTCACACCTTAGTATATTATTAAATCTTTGGCCATTTCTTCTTTGCTAATAATCATTTTGGAATCCACTTACAAACATGTTTTAGTTGAATGTATATAATAATTTTTCCCATTGTTCTCCCTCAGGACCTGATTGATGAGTGGATAGCCAAAGAGGCCAAAAGATCCAACTCCAATAAAACCATGGATCCAAGCTGTTTAAAATGGACCCCTCCCAAGGGCACTTAAAGTGACCGGTTACTCCGAGCCAGCGAACCCCAGCAGTAGGAATCCGTACCCTAGGGATCTGTCTGTCATTTCTGTTGCTCTTGTGATTGGCAAGTACAGTATCCTTTGGGAAGGCCATCCCCCTCAGGACTGTCCTGGCTCCGACCTTCGTGTACACTGCAGACGCTGGTTCTGAGGAACTGTTGTTTCGGCCTCAGTGAGGTTGCCTGGATGGGATCTGTATTAGACTTGAGTGCAGATCCCTCGTAGCACTGACCCAAGGTGTTCTGTTTTGGTACTGTACCTGTCCAGTCACTGGTTCTCTCCTCTGGCCCCATGAGGTTGTGTCGTGTCTTCTAAACTTTGTAATAGTGCTTCTTCTTGCCGCCCAGTCACCAGACCACCAACTACGGTTACTGCCACCAGGACATTCCCAGTTACTCCTTACCTGTGTTCTTGGAGGGGCAGGGAAGAGGTAACACTTCTGAGTGTGTGTGTGTGCTGGGAGGGGTCCCTTCCCTTTGGATTTCATCTCACTTTAAGTTTTTTCCTCCATTTTAACTGAAAGACCTGTTTTTGATCAGTATCAGGCTGACCAGAGCCAAATACTTTTTTTTTTTTTTTTTTTTTTTTTTTTTGCGGTACGCGGGCCTCTCACTGTTGTGGCCTCTCCCGTTGCGGAGCACAGGCTCCAGACATGCAGGCTCAGCGGCCATGGCTCACGGGCCCAGCCGTTCCGCGGCATGTGGGATGTTCCTGCACCGGGGCACGAACCCGCGTCCCCTGCATCGGCGGGCGGACTCTCAACCACTGTGCCACCAGGGAAGCCCCGAGCCAAATACTTCTGAAGACTCGCAGGGATTAGTCTTGGTTACAGCACGTTATCTGAGTGAGGTGGAGAAAAGAATGGAGAAGTGGTGATTCTGTATTTGGATTTGAGTTCACCTGTGGGCAGTGGGCAACGTCTTGGTGGAAGGGAATGGAATACTACTTTTTGCCTCACCAGAAAGTGCCCAGTGGTAAATGTTTTCTTCTCTTTACTCCCTGCCCGTCTTTACGTTTGCAGGTGCCAAAATACTTTCCAGTTCTCCCTTTCATGCTGCATGTTAACTGGTTAATTATACTGCAGAAACCTTTTCACCAGTACCAGTCTGATATAGCATACCTATACTTCCACGTAAGTTACACTGCTTTTGTCTGAACATCCTTGGAGAAGTGATTGAAAATGACTTCCGTGTCTCAGCCCATGACTCAGCAAGGCAGAATGGCCACCCCTGCCAAGGTTTGCTTCCCTTTTCAACAGTGCCTCACCCTCCCTCTAAGACTGAAGTGCTTATGCCCTTCCAAGAACTCCTCCTCCATTTCCTTTTTGGGATTTACCACCATCCCCCCATTCTCTGGTCTCCTATTTTTGGTGGTGTTTAAGTGAAGGAAGAGATGCTCCCTCTAATTTCTCTCTAGCCCGTTATAACCTGCTATCTTGGGGCAGCTTTTGATGTATGACATGTCACCCTTTCCAACTTGGTCTCTACAACACCGCTGTCTTCATGTGGAACCCGCACCACAATCCCAACTCTGGTCATTTGTGCCTTTCTCTTGTCATCTTTGTACACTACTTATATTCACTGTGGGTTGGGGGGAGCTAATTTTAAGCATGTTCAGTGGCAGCTCCCTGCCAGTTTCAGTGTCACTGTTAAAATTTATCCAAAAGCAACTTCACTGGGGGTTTTCTTAAGGGGTAAAGGCCTTTTACAGAAGCTAATCCTTCCCCACATGTGGTAGAATGTGCTGTTCTATATCTACTCCTCAATAAAGCATGTTCTCTGCTCAAGTCTGTTTCACCTAGGAGATCTCATTTGAGTAGAAAATGGTGCCACTGACCTGCCGCTAATAGGTAATGCACTTGGGATTTATTTTCCTAGCAGTAAACTGACTGTTGAGGGATGTGGTTTGTGGCTGGGGAAGGTTGTTTCTTCCTCTGTGATGCAGGGTATCTATGGAGGGAGTGCTTACTCTGAGCTTGTTTAGTTGATGGGATAAACTCCCTGCCACACTCTGGTTCCAGGTAATAGGTATGCATAGCAATAAGTAGTCTGTATTATCCATTCTTCCATTAAGTTCATTAAGTTCAAGGACAGAAAACCCAGCAGGAAGTTAGGATATGTGGGGTACAATCGATAGCTGTGGGAGGTGGGAAAAGGTGGGTCCCTTCTTGTCTCCAGGCTTATTTGCCAGTAGTGAGCAGTGCCACCTCTAATCATTGTCTCTCTCAGGTTGAGATGATTTCTGAAAGTAGCTGCATTTTCCTGTAGCATTTACCTAGAGCAGGAAAAGGGTGGCCGGGCACTTCGCTATATGGTGGAGAGGAGGAGGGTGGAAATTGTATTTGCTGGGGTGGTTTTGCCCACTGTGGCCAGCATGGTGAGAACTTCTCCTGGCAGACAAACTAAGGGTCCTCCTTGGTAAGGTTAGAGTCCAGTGTGTCACTTGACTGGGGGTGGGAGATGGGATGGAGAGAAGCTCAAGCTTATAAAAAGACCCTTCTTACACATCTTAGAAAGATGTGTGCCCAGATCTCCCTGTTCTAGGTATTCACATCAAAGGGAAATTCTTCTCACTCTCACATTTTGAAAAAATTTAGGTAGTTAGTGTGGACCACGAGAATGGATGCTGAGAGGTCAAGGCACTTGAAGTTTTGTGCACAGTGCGGTCCCAAGCCTCCACTGATTGCCACCCCCTTTTCCTCACCTAGAAATCAAAGGAAGATTTCTCTGGTTTAAATCCTTGCAGGTATGGGAACAGACAGTTCACTTCCTTGGCTACTTTGAGTCAGCCTGTCCCCGCTGACTCCTTTTTACCTGCACAAAAGAAGCTCAGCTGCTTAGGCTCCTTCATTAGAAGAGCAAAAGTCTGGAGTCATTCCTGGATCTAGCTCCTGAAACTCTCTAAGTGGAAGCACCTACTTGCTATTTCTGGAGGGAGGAAGAGAGCCCTAGCACGAGCTGGTTGCTTCCTCTCTGCTCAGCACCGTGCTGGGTACCTTCACACTGCCTTGTTAGCGCAATGGAAATTCACACCGGTTTTGCAGAAGGAAACCTAGAGCACAGGGTGACGCAGGAAGCGTCAAAGACAAATATTTTGGTCTGTCCAGCTTGAGAACCTATATCATTTGCTTTCTTGGCTTTTTTGATTCCTTAATGATTTATCATCTCCCTTCTAGTTAGATTTCCTTGCTTCAACTGTAGACCCCCATGCTTCTAGTGGCTTCCACTGCCAGAAGGATGACAACACTGGTGAAAACTTTAAGATGAAAGAAGTGATTTTAGTTGCTCCTATAGGCAGCATTTGGAGGCCAGAGACCTAAACCAGGAAACAAAGATGTGCTTCGTTCTGGCTCAGCTTCCGATTTAGGAATAAACTGTTTAGCAAGCACTGTCTGCCCATTTACTTACATGGTTTCCTTCAGTCCTTACAACGCCACCGCTGTAAGGTGAGTATTGTAGCCCTTTTCCACATGAGAAAATTTGAGGCTCAGAGGTCTTGCTGCTGGGTTATAGAAACAGAATGAGAGCCTTGCTCCTCTGATTCCAAATCCCGTGCTTCTGACAACGCTATTGTGAGTCATCTGATGCCTCTGTGCCTGCTTTCCCATTTCTCACAGGGGGAACAGTGAGTCATATTAAGTAACTTTTAAGAATATGGTGTGCCCTCTGTAGGGAAGATGATGCTTTTGACACGTCCTCAGCTTTGGTTTGACCCTGTAGTTCTGGGCAGGTTGCCTCGCTGGGGTTAGGAATGGCCTCCAATGGAGTTCATGGGAAGCCAGTATAGAAAAATACCACAGCTTGCTCACAGCACACATTCCTTCTGGAATATGAAACCAATGAAAAGCAGCTTTTTGAATGTATATTAGTAACTAGTCATAAACATGGCTGCCTTTTCCTCCTTTGAAGAGCAATTGATATGCCAAACATTGAAGAAGTGTAGTTTGTATGAAAGGTGCTAGGATCAAGCAGTGTAGCTCTCAGTGATCCTTACCCTTTTTACTTTCCTTCTGACCTTTTGAGAATCTAATCAAAGCATCGAGTCTTTTTTAAAAAATGTACATAAATGCAAATATGCACACATTTGTCTACAGTTGAGGAAATTGAGCCTTTGAAGTCCATTTCTGAACTGGGGTTAGTAAATAAGAAACCCTGGTTTGAGAAAGCTCCAGTGAAAAGGCAGGAACCCCACCTACCTGCCTTCACTCCCAGCCCATGACTAGTTCTTTGTGTAAGATGACAGGTCCCGTTAAGTGAGGTACAGTGATGACAGGGAGAAGGCCTGGCTCACGGGCTCAACGTTAGGATCCTCACAGGTGCGCATATATACACAGTGGGGTTTTGCATGTTCAGAGAATAAGGTGAAAACTCTTGCTAAATATATATGATGTATGCTAGGAATTCTAGAAACTACTTTTTGCTATTCGTTGATATCATGGAATTGTAGAATTGGACCTCCTCTGGGTTTGCTCCAGCACTTTCTGCTATAAATTTGTATGACAGTCTCTTCCAGACTGTCTCCTGCTGATGGGGGCAGTTTAATTGCCCACATCCTTTGTGGTATCTTCAACAAAATGCCAATGAATGTCACTAAGAAGAAAAAAAAAAGGCTGCCCAGTGGTGAAAAATGCCCCTTGCTGGAATATCAGTTTGTCTCTTCCGTCTTGTGCAATACGTGTAGATGCAGGTCATGCTGCTACCATTCTGGGGTTTGGGAGTTTGTTTATTTGTGCCCAAGAGTGGAGAAAATAACCTGTGCTGTTGCACAACTTTGGCTCCGTTGCTCCTCCCAGATGTTCTATGTGAGATGTAAACACCTTTATCCTTGATCAGTCATGTCCATTCCAAGAAGTCAGTCTTTCTCAATTGGGTATTTGTTTCTGGAAACCACTCACCTTATGTTTAATCAGTTCCAAAGTTTTTAGGAACCTATACCCTTATCTCACAAAAAAAGTGCGGTAGATCACCTCCAGAGATGGCCACCAACAGTTTCTCCCATCTCTGGATGTGTGTGCCGCTCCTTCCAGTAAGAGCTAATTTTCCTTTGGAGTGTGAGCTGGACTTTTTTTTGGGAGGGGGGTGCTGGACCCTGGGAGGCCTGCAGTCAGGAGGCGGCTTGCACCGCCCCCTACTCCCACATTTCTCCCTGGACACGGGTAAGGTGTGAGAATGAGGAAGAGAGATGCCTCATGATGAACAGTCAGTCTTGAGATGGAGACCGTTTCACTACAGGTCAAACAGAAGAATCTTAACTGGTTGTGCAGACACCGTCTGGCCTCTCAGGGCCTCTGCTGTCACTAAAACCTTCCCTGGTACCCAGATGAAGGGCCTGGCCTCTCCACCAATGCCTTCTTCCCCTCCTTTTAAACAGCCTAACGACCCCACCCCCAAAGAATCAGGCACCCCCCCAAGCCCCTAACCCATTTTCTTTTTGGAAAGAGGGACACAGAAGCTGAATGTTACGCAGCCCAGTGAATTAATGAATCGCCCTTTACCGCCAAGCCCACACGCCTCCCAGCTCAGTCCTTTGTTCACCTAGGTTTGGCCCCTAGGATTTCATTCTAGCTCTTTCTAAGCATCCTAGGGTCCTTTGTGTCCCGCCTGCCTATGAGCCACTGGGGCAGGACGATGGTCTCCCCGTCAGAAGCGGGGGGGTGGCGGCTTCCTGAGGTGGGACCTGTTTCCTTTCTCTAGAGCTCTTCCCAGTGGTGGGAGCATGACTAGATGCCTGTGTCCCCAAAGCAGAGCAGTCAGTTGACGGGCCGCCTCATACACAAGAATTGATGAAGGACCTGGGACCCACTTCTGCCCCTTGAGGTTATGATGGTGAGTAGGGAGGGGATGTCTGCTTTCAGGCAGGGGCTTGTCACCTTTACCTGTGTCCCAAGCCTGTTTTCCCACCTCGGGTGGGGAGCACAACTGTTTAGTATTTCCCTTTACAACCCTGCAAAAAGGTCTCCCAACTGCTGACATGCCAGGCCACTGGGCAGGGTGCAGAGCCCAGGCCATCCCTGCCCTCTGCCCTGCACCGGAGAAGAAGCCATCCACTGTTCATTGGTTTATTGAGCCCCTGCTGTGTTCTGGGAGATAGAGGAGGGGGGGAGACTCATCCTGCTGTGCAGTGAGGGGGGGTGCGGGCAGGGTCACTAGCTCACAGTGGTGACAACAGTGCACTTATGCACGACTGCTGCTTGAGACCGAGAGTCCTGGGAGGAGCCCCAGTGAGTTCAGTGAGGGCCTAGGGGTAGGGACATGCTGGCGATGAGCCCAGGAGACACGGAGGCTGGCTGGTTGGCTGTCACGTCCAGGTAGGGAGAAAGGGGTTTTTCGTCCTCTGGGAAGCACGTGGCAGGGGCTCTCACTCTGACCAGTGGTCCTCATCCTCTGGGCCTGGGAAGAGTGCTGCACGTGGCCGGCGGTGAGGGGAGACTGGTCTGCCTCCTCCACCCTCGGAGCCCTTCCCTAGTCATCCACCCAAGGCCCTCCACGTCCCTAACTCGCGTTTCTCCAGCTGCAGATATCTAAGGCAAATTACAGGTTCATCTGGCACAGCTTCCATTTTTCAACCATAAACGCCTCCAGAGCATGGACGAGCCAACCCTCACTAATCCTCTAAAGAAAGGGAGTGGTAATCCACCACTCAAAATTCCAAAGGCCCTCCTGGGGCCACGGGAAGTGCCCTGGCCTAGGGAGCGGGGGACACAGTGTTTAGTCCTGGCTCTGTTATCAGTTCAGTGTGTGACTTTGGGCAAATTATTTCCATCCCTGAAAAATGATTTCTAAGGCTCCTGCCGACACTCTGCGTGGAGGGACATTCATTTCCACATTGGCATTGGGTTGACTTCCATGGCCCTTCAAGTGGAAAGGCTCAGACACTTAGGAAAAACTCTTGGGGGAATATAGAGGACTTTCCCATCTTTATTCCCAAGAGCCTATGTTGGAAGGAGCAGGTATCAGGGAAGCTAGAGAGCAGTCCACAGGTCTGCGGCTCTGGGGGGAGAGGTCAGGTTTAGGAAAGCAGACTTGAGCTTGGCGTCTTTGATCAGCTGTGACACCCCCTGCCCTTCCTCTTGAGCTGACTGGCTTGAGCTATGGCTCCTTCCCCAGCTCGATTCACTTACCTACTTTCATGCCTGTTCATTTATTGAGCGTCCCCTTGAACCCCTTTGGGGTTGTGGCCCCTGCCAGAAGGCGTTAGCTGATAACTACTTAGGGTGTTACCCCTCCCAGGGCCATTTGCCTTTATTTATAATCATTGAAGATAGGAAATACCTTAAGACTTTCTAACAACGATTAGTAAGGGAATAAGGGGGATGTTCAGGGTCTGAAAAACCACACACTACTCTGTAGCTTCAGCTGGCCCTGAGAGGGGGGAGCAGAGTGTGCCTGGGTGTGTTGGGGGTGGAGAGGGTGCAGCTTCAGGGCTACGGCTGTTACAGGCCTGGATCATCAAAGGGATCATGATCTCCCTGCACCTCGACTGCTCTCTTCCGTGGGTCCTCTGCCTAATAGCTTGTGGGGAGCCTGTCTGTCTGGCCAGCTGCCTGGCCCCCACTGTGGAGACTGGCAGCAAAGTGGTCACTTTCTCGTTATGCCCTTGCAATCCAGTAGAAGCTCTCATCTACCTTCTGTAGATGGTCCTCCCCTGCCCAGGTGGCCCTGGACTACTGGTCCTCGTTGATACGCTGGTGGTGAAGAGAGGAGATAGAGAAGAAAAAGAGAGAGTGCAGTAGAGGAAGGCTGTCTTGGGAACCAAGAAAGACAGGGCCAGAGCTGGGGCCTCATGAATGGAGTCATTTCTCAATCAATCTAGGAGCTGAGGTTCATTCATTCACTGATGCATTCACTGATTCCTTCCTCTTTCTCCTCCATTCTCCCTCCCTTCTCCCCTTCCTTCCACAAACACCTCGTGGGCACCTCTAATAGAAACTGTGGGGACAGAGGAGATGGCAGACCTCTACCTGTCTGTGGGGTAGTTCCTGCTCTGGGGACACCAGCCATGTGACCCAGCACAACAGTACAAGGCAGTGTGCCCAGGCTATGGAGACAAGCTCTGGGTAAGGCAGGCAAGCAGGCAGGGAAAGAGAGGAGCTAGGAGTCCTGTCAGTGAGGGCGCCCGGGAGGATGTGGTGAGTCTAGGGCGTTAGGTTTGCTCCTGAGAGCACTGAAGGGTGGTGGGTAAAGGTTGGTTTGTTTTCTTTTGATATTGTTTTTCCCTTTTCACCAAAAGGACAGCTTTTCACTTTTAAGGTCCTTCTGGATTGATTAGTTTCTCCAACTCCAGGCTTTAGTAAGACCCAAGGTAATTTTGGACCTTTGGCAGAACTAGGTTCATCCCCGTATTTTCCATATCCCTGCAGCTACTCCCCAGGTATGCACAGACCGCCTCTCTAAGGAAACAACCAGGGAGCCTAGCATGCGGCCAAACCATGCTGCCCTGGTCCTCCACAGTGCCAGCCTGGTGCACCCTGGCCAGAGCATCTCTCCCGCCCCCCTGGACAACTCGGTTCTCCCCAGGGAGCATGCTGGGGGAAGGTCTGGACAACACTTACCTCTTCTCTCTGGCTGGATGGGAGGTATTCCTGGGGGAAAGAGAGAGAAGGAATGAGGGCTGCACCGCTTCCCTGGGGGCCCAGTGAGGTGAAAGGGCTCATGGCTCTTGGGGATCCCGCACCTTTGGTGGGTCTTCAATGGAACTCCAGTCACTCCCTGTTGTCCTGGTGTGGCTGGGCCGCACAAGGTACACTCTGGGTAGGAGGCAGCGTGGGGTAGTAGGAAGTGCGCATACTTTGGAGTCATTGCTTCTGGCACCAGCTGGGCATCCTTGGGAAGGTATTTAGCCTATCTGAGCTTTAGCTTCCCTGCTGGTGGTAAAGGGGATATTGTGAGATTTAATCACATGTGAGCACAGTGTTGTTTTTTTTTTTTTTTGGCCGTGCCATGCAGCACGCGATTTCTTAGTTCCCTCACCAGGGATCAAACCTGTGCCCCCTGCAGTGGAAGCACGGAGTCCTAACCACTGGACCGCCAGGGAATTCCTCAGTAAATATTTCTCATATAATCCCTTCCCCTGCTTCCTCATGGGTTGCTGGATTTGGAAGAGAGCTCTGAAACGGCCCAGTCCAAAACTCATTTTGTAGAGGAGGAAACTGAGGCCAAAAGTGTTTGCTCACAAGTTGATTTCCTCTTTTTTTTTTTGGTGGAGGTACTGGGAGGGTTTTCTCTATTTTTATACGCATTTTTTAAATTACAAAAGCAGTCTCTGGGGACTTCCCTGGTGGTCCAGTAGTTAAGACTCTTGTGCTTCCACTGCAGCGGGCACGGGTTCGATCCCTGGTCGATCCCATGCCATGTGGCATGCCCCCCCAACAAAAAAAGAAAAGAATAAAAAAGCAGTCTCTGAATAAATGCCCACTATAAAATGGTAATGTAGAGGATAGTGTCGTAAAAGTCCCTCTTAACTCTCTCCCTCACCTCCACTTCCTATCCTAGGTGTAAACACTGTAGACAGTTTGATATTTATCCTTCTGGAACTCTCCCTATGTTTTCATATATATATCTGTGTAAGTATGTAGTGTTTCTTTTAAACAGGTAAACTCCTATCTTACATATTGTTATATAACTTACTTTTTCCACTTAACCAGTATCTTGGAGATCTTTATCTTTCCACAGATCTGCCTCATCCATTTTAATGGCCATAAAGGGTATGGATGTGCCCTATATATATATATATATATATTTTTTTTTAATATAAACTTATTTATTTATTTATTTTTGGCTGCGTTGGGTCTTTGTTGCTGTGCGCAGGCTTTCTGTACTTGCGGCGAGCGGGGGCTACTCTTCGTTGCAGTGTGCAGGCTTCTCATTGCGGTGGCTTCTCTTGTTGCAGAGCACGGGTTCTAGGCGCGCGGGCTTCAGTAGTTGTGGCACACGGGCTCTAGAGCACAGGCTCAGTAGTTGTGGTGCACGGGCTTAGCTGCTCCGTGGCATGTGGGATCTTCCCGGGCCAGGGCTCGAACCCGTGTCTCCTGCATTGGCAGGTGGATTCTTAACCACTGTGCCACCAGGGAAGCCCAAAGTACCAGTTCTTTCATATCCTCACCAACACTACTTTAAAAAATATACAATATTGGCAATAAGAAAAAGAAAACGGCTCTCTGTTCAGACTGTTTTCTCCTTGTCCCCTCAGGACATGAATCACGCGTCAAGCGTGCCCTCAGGGAACATAGGTTCATTTTAATAATTTTATTTGAGCCAAACAGAATCAACTAGAAAGCTTAGCTCATGCCTTTACTCACATCTACAGGCTGATCTTGAGCACCACCACCTCTCTCCAGTCATCCATTGTATTGAAGGAAGGGCGCCAGCAGGATGCAATGCATTTGTCCCCACCCTTAGGGTGACTGCACTCCCCGGATGCTGGAGACAGCCCTGGTTTGCACCTGTTGCCTGGCATAATTACCACTCTCTGAAGTATCCTGGTTTGGATGGTAATTGACACGGACACTCTATCCCATCTCATCACATGAGCGCCTCCTACTGGACTGGAGTAAGAGCTGCTGTAAGCTAGGGTCTCTGCTTGGTGTAACAGAACCCACCCAGAAGCCCTCCTCGCTGGGCACCCGCCCACTTCTGTCACTCACCTCCCACCTGCTTCCCCATCAGTCCAAAAAACTGGCTCGCTTTGCTCCTCTTCACTTCCCAGAGCTGGAGCTGAATGCTGGGCACAACATCTTCCTGAAGAAGCAGAGAGTTCCTTAGAGTTGGGGCAAGGAGACAGCCTGAGCAATAACAATCTCAATAACACGGGCTCTGTGCTGCCACTGAGCTCTTCTGCACATTTTACACAATACTGTAAATAATAATAATAATTAATAGCTAACATTTTACCATGTTCCTAAGCACTTGCATATATTAATTCACTTAATCCTCACCAAAACCACATGAAGTAAGTACTATTACTGTCACCATTTTACAGATGGAAACACTGAAGCACAGAGCAATTACCAGCAAGGATGTGAGATGAAGCCAGAACTCAAACCCATGTCATCTGGCTTAAAGCTCAAACACTCCAGTCATAATCTCATTTACTTTTCACAACAACCATATGAAGTAGGAACTGATTTATCCCTGTTTTACAGGTAGGGAAACTGAGACTTTGGGAGGTTAAGTGACTTGTTCAAGGTCACACAGGAAGTGGTAGAGCCAGTAGAGCCACTCAGGAAGTCTGACTCCAGAGCACAGGTTCTGCTCCATCTTGGGAAATATCTCCAATATAGACAAGGAGGGGGCAGCTGATGAACTTGGGGTGGGCACCCAGTTGGCGAGATGAGACTGCTTCCCCTCCAACCCCCTCTCTAACTCCTGTTTTCCTCTCTTCCCCCGGCACTACCACCATTGTCCTGGATTTATCCTGCCCTAGAACCTGGGCCTCCCGTGAGGATAATGGCATGTGGCCTGGGGTGGAGGCCACTCCCCTGGGCAAAGACATTTTCATCCTTGAGCTGATGGGGTGAAAGTTCTGGACCAAGGACTATAGATTTAAGTTCTCATTCCTCCGTTAACCTTTGTGACCTTGGCCGAAGTCCTCTCCTTCTCTGGCCTTAACTGCAGCCTCTGATGGAGGCCCTGCTTAGCTCTGCTGAGAGGGAGAGATGCTCGCTAGTGGAGAGAATGACTGTGTGACGTTCATTAGACCGTCTTCACATCTCTATATCCCCAGTACCTGGCACAGTGACTGGTACACACAGGAGCTCAGCATGTGTGGGATACAGGATGCTGAATGAAAGGTCCTTTCTCTGATAGTTTGGGAATAGGGAAGAGGATGGGGTCTCCTTTTCCAGGAAGGCTGAGACAGGTGAACAGAGCCCTAGAGTAACACAAGCCACCTGCCAGGAGGCTGGCAGCTGGGGTTGGGTCAGGGACTTGCTCTTCCATTCCCAGTTTCCATGTCAAAGCTGGAAAATGTCAAAGCTGGAAAAAAAAAACCTTGGGGATCATCCTCTCCCCGCTGCCCCCATTTTACAAGTGAGGAAACTGATGTGACCTTCCCCAGTTCGCACAGAGTCAGTGGAGAAGGTGAGACTTGAACCTGGGTCTCTCCAGCCTGCTGTCTTCTCAAGGGCACACACTTCCACATTCAGACAAACCAGGAAGGAAAACTGCCATGAAGGAAACCCACCAGGAATGGCTGTTATTCGATGGCTCGTCCTGTGGCCCCAGTGTGTTCACCATCCCAGGACTTGGAGGAGCCAGGCCCCGGCCAGTCCCATCTGCCCTCCTGGAGGCCTTCCCTGAGCACCGGGCCTGTTTGTCTCTGATCCACTGGCCTTGCTCCCCTGTCTGATTGGAACTCCCCAAGGTCAGGATCTTTGTCTCCCTGACCAGACAGGGTGGGGCACAGATGCTGTGTCTCTAACTTTGAGATTTATTCCCAGTGACAGAACTCAGGTCAGTTTAGTAGGAGAGACTGGCAGTCAAACCAGTACTTGTCAGGAAATAAGAGACAAAACAGTGATCCCGCCCCAAGTTGACCCCCTTGAAAGGAAATGCTGGACAATGTCCTCTGAGGCACAAATACACAGAATCAGACCTTGGGCAAGGTGCACAGTTGTGCCTTTTTTAAAATAATTAATTAATTTATTTATTTTGGGCTGCATTGGGTCTTTGTTGCTGGGTGTGGCTTTCTCTAGTTGCGGTGAGCGGGGGCTATACTTTGTTGTGGTGCGTGGGCTTCTCATTGCGGTGGCTTCTCTTGTTGTGGAGCACGGGATCTAGGCGTGCGGGCTTCAGTAGTTGTGACACACAGGCTCAGGAGTTGTGGCTCATGGGCTCTAGAACGCAGACTCAGTAGTTGCGGCGCATGGGCTTAGTGGCTCCACGGCATGTGGGATCTTCCCGGACCAGGGTTCGAACCCGTGTCCCCTGCATTAGCAGGCAGATTCTTAACCACTGCACCACCAGGGAAGTCCCTGTACAGTTGTGCTTTTGAAGCTGCATAACCTTGGACAAACTGCTTGACTTTTCTGTGCCTCAGTTTCCTTATCTGTGAAATGGGGATAGTAATGGTACCTTCCCCACCGGCTGATATGAGGATTACAGGGGTTAATATTTATGAAGCATTTAGGACAGTGCCAGGAACATAGTATATGTTAAATAAGTGTTTGTTAAATGAAGTGTGAGTGCATGTACGCGCACGCGCGCAGGCGCGCGCGCGCGCGCACACACACACACACACACACACACACACACACACACACTGTTGCTTCCATATGCATGCAACTCTTTGGAGGTCTGCCAGGCCAGGGGCCATGACCTTGAACCTGCCCAGGGAGGGGAGGCAGACACCCTACCTTGCAGTATACAACCTGCTCTCCTGGCAGCCATAAAGGGGATCTTCTGCCCCCTCCACCATGTATCATCCCCTGCTTCTCCCCAAAGGCACCTACCTCCAGGGTCACGGTGCCCCAGGACCCAGCTTCAGCGTCAAGTGGCAGTTCCTTGTCACCTGCCACAGTGCAAGCAGACAGCCCCGTCAGGAGAGGCGGGGTGAGGCAGAGCAGCATGGTGAGCTCTGCCCTGGGACCCTCGGGGAGCCCCTCTCAGTCCACAGACCGCCACTAGCAGGCTCCGTCCTCTCTCTCTGGCTGCTCTCGGCAGGTGGGGGAAACTCCACCTGTTCTGTCCTCCCAGCTACTCGGCTTCTTCCTTCAGCTTATCTGACCCCCGGGGCCATTTCCTGTGACTGCCCCCCGCCCCACCAGCTGGAAAAGCCAATGATACCGCGAGCTGCCCAGAGAAGGGACCAGGTCTCCTCCACTGCCGCCCCCCAGCAGTTGATCTCTGTTGCAACACCGCCTCACCGCTGGCTGCATTCCCCTTGGGAGGCAGGTGCACAATGGAGCAGTGTGTGGGGCCTGCTGCTTCCGGCTTCCTGACTGGAAGCCCCGAGCAGGCAGCGCCATCTTGGAAATGGGAAGGGGGAACTGCCTGGCTTCTCCCTTACCCTGTAAGAGAGGCCTCTCCCCAGAACTTAGTATTCTACCACTAGTCTCCCCTTCCAGTCACTGCACCCCTTCCTCGGCATTCCCCGCCATCAGTAGTCCTCATGTGAACATGGTTGCACACGTCTTGCCCTAAGAGGTAAGACAATACGTAAAGAAATAAGGGTCCTCACAGGCAGGAATTGGGATTTGCCAGAAAAATGACCTCCTGCTCAAGTGTCATCAGCTCTAAAATATCTTCCCACTGCTGGGATCTTTTCAAAGCCCTAACCTGACCTATCTCTCCCTGCTTACAGCCTTCCAGTGTCTCCCCACTGCCCGTGGCGTAAAGTTCAAGCTCCCTGGCATGGCGTTCAGGGCGCTTCTCCACTTAGTTCCTCCCTGTCTCCCATCCATTAGTGTAGAACAAGGGTCCTGTGGTCAGAGAGCCCTGAATTCCATTCCTAGCTCCCCCACTAAATAGCTATGTGACCTTAGGCATGTTACTTAACCTTTCTAAACCTTGGAATCCTCATCAGTAAAATGAGATTATTAATAGCACTTATTTCCAAAGTTGAGGATGAAATGGGATAATGCATGTGGAGCACTTCGCACAGTACATGATGGTAAATATTTAATACCCATTAACTATCATTCCTATTACTATTATTGACACTGGGTGAGGCACTGGGCCACAGAAGATGAATAAGACACTGTCCCTGTCCCTGTCCTACAGCATCTCACAGTCTCTAGGAAAGGAGACCTCTGGTTGGCAGATAAGCTGTGTTCAGTTTGCTCTGTGCTGGCACAGAGGTGGGGACAGGAGAAGGCCGCGCCGCCACCCCCCTTCCTAGTCTGCCCATTTCCTGCCCCCAGACAGCTTCACCACCTGCTCCCAGACAGGACAAGTTTCCCTGATTCTCTGCTTTGGCCTCAGCTGTTGCCTCTGCCTAGACTTCCTTTTCTACCTGGTGAACTCCCACTCATCCTTAAAGGTCTCCTTAATGATCACCCCCAGTAGAGTTTCTCTGTGTCTTTTCGGACTCCAGCAAGAATTAGTTGGCTCCTTTCCTAGGCTTTCCCAATATCTCCTACTCATATCTCTTGCAGCTCTGCACAGGCTGTGGTCAGAGGCTGTGCAGGTTGTGTCCTGCACAGAAGAGGCTGCCGACGGGGGAGTGAAGGTGGAAACCTGCCCTCACTCTGCTCACTGCGCCACACAGCCTGGCGAGAGGCTTCACCCCCTGCAAGAAGGTGCCTGGTTCCATTTCTCCCAGAGGGGCCAGCTGGGCTGAGGACAGCCCTGCTAGGCTGCCATATTATGTCACGAATGCTCTGAGAGCGGGGCTGTGATATATGTGTGCTTGGCACACAGTGGGTCCTTAAGAAACGTGCAATTACTCTTGAGTCCAGGCCAGTGAAGGCAGAGATGAATAAGGACAAGTGTGGAGGTTTGGGGGAGGACAGCTTCATACACACCACGTCCACCCCCTTCCAGGAATCTCTTTGGTGAATCCCGACCTGATGGTTTCAGAATCCCTGCATTTGCTAAAATGCAGGTTCCCCAGCTCAGCCCTTTTTGACACAGCCAACTCTAGTCTGTGGGTCTGAATCTACACAGCCTCTGGCTGAACTTTCCCAAGGGCAGGGCACTTAATAGCTCACAATCCACTTTGTTTTTCCACTGTTGTTAACAAGTTCTGCCTTACAGGGATGAACAGCCCCTTCACTTTACAGATGTGGAAACTGGCACTGGGTTTCACAAGCCAGCAGGTTGGGCTTGCTCTAGGTTACACTGAGAATTTGTGGCGGACTAGCATCCCGGGTACCCAGTCAGCTGCTTCCCACCTTCCCACAAGGGCAAGCAGCACGTGGGTGGAGGCAGAGTAACAGCATGGCCCTCTGGATAGGGGTGATGCCTTCCCATTCTGCAGATCCAAACCAGGTGACCTTAGGAGCCAAGGACCCTCTCTGAGCCTCAGTTTCTCCATCTGAAAGTTGGAGCCACCCCTTATCTGGTGGTGGTAAAGGTTTCATAAATGCCCACCCTTAAAGAGCTCAGCAGAGTGCCTGGCACATAGTATGTGCTCAATTAATCCGAACTTATGTTTTGTGATTTTTCGACCTCTGGAACCCTGGACCTCGGCGCTGGTCTCCTGGCCCCAGCTGCGCGGGACAAGTGTGGGGGGGTGCACAGTGGGGAGGGGGCGGGGCCCCGGGGCAGAGGAGAGGGCGGCGGGAAGAAGGGAGAGAAAATCCCAAAGGCCCGGAAGGCCGGGAGGGAGGCCGGGCACGGGCTGGAAACCGCGGCTATTTGCAGCTTTGCCCTTGGACTGAGGTCGGGCCGGTGCTCGCGGGCCAGGCTGCCGAGCCCGCCGCCCCGCCCTGTGCCCTCGGCCACCCGGGCTCTGCCCTGGCCGGCGGATCCTGCCTCGCCCGGTCCTCGAGGCCCGGCGGGGGGTCGGGACGCCGCAGCCGAGCGGTGACAAGGCTGCGGGAGCGGACGGCGCGCGGGGCTGGGGCGCGGGCGGCGGGCGGGCCGCAGGGTGAGTCGCGGCCGCGGCGAGGCTGCCCGGGCGCCGGGTGGGCGCGCACGATTGCTAAAGGCTGCGGTTTGGCTAAGAATGCGGAGCCGAGAGGAGAAAGGGTGCAGGAGGGAGGAGAGCGGGGAAGAGGGAAACACAAGCCGAGGGCGGGATGAGGGCGGGAAGCTGACGTTTCCTGAGCGCCGGCTGCGTCCAAAGGAGGTGGGATGACTGGCCCCACTTTACCGGCCGGCTCGGGGAGGCTGGGTGCCTCGGACTAGGCGTCCAGCTGTGAAGTAGCAGAGTCGGGAGCCTGATCAGTCTTTCCCCACGACTGAGAACGCAAACGCGAGCCGGGGAAGGGCGGAGCGGGCCGGGGTGGGAAGGGGAGCCGGGGGCGCTGGCCTTCTGGGTTTCTCTGCCCCAGGTGACGCCGCAGGAACCCTGCGTCCGTCTTCCCCGCGCCCTTCCAGCGCCCCCGTGTGGAGGCTCCTTCTGAAGCCCGATCTACCCCCCCTTCCCCGCCTCTGCGCGCCCCTTCCTAGAACTCGGAGTTGGCTGACCCGGGAGGGGCAAGAGCTGGGTCCGGTCTCACGGCCTGCCCCTTGGATAGAGGACGGGAGGTAAAGGGGAGGCTGGGCCCCCAGAGGAGGTGAGCCTCCTTCGGGTGGGCAGTGCGGTCCTTCCAACGGAGGGGGCAGGGTGATGGGTAAAAGGAGCTCGGAGTGTGTAACTGGGGCAATAGTCTTTGCACCCTGTGCTAGGACCCTTTCGCTCGCAATGACTTAATTCTACTGCGAATCTTTGAGGTTACACTCATGCATTCATTCATTGATTCTGGATTTGCTGAGACCTTACAACACGGGAGTTGCCCCAGAACACAGGTGAAAGAAACAGACAAGCATTATAACACTTTTAGCAGTGTGGAAAGTGCCGTGATGGGGGTATCTGGGGAGAGAAGAAGAATCCTGGACCCCCTTTACCCACATTTACAGTGTGGGTACGCTTCAGACCCTTGTCCTAGACAGAACACTTTGGGTTGGAAAAGTGGGTCTCTACACATGGATTGCAGATGGAGCAAACAGAGCCATAATCCTCTGTGCCCACAGGTTGTGTAGGTATGGCAGACAATTTGGCCCAAGACTGCCTTGCCTTCAGCACTTCTAGCCTCTTAATAATATCCCAAGTATCTCTGGGAGGGCCTGAAGATATAGGTAGCCCAGTTTCAGAAATTCTCAGGGTCCTGAGGGTGATTCCAAACAGTCCCTGTCCTTGCCCTTTTCATCAGGCCCCTTTCCCCCAACCAAAGGTGCATCTTGGCCCAGGCCTATGGCCCTAGGAGGTTCTCACGCCATCTCCCTTCCTTCTCCATCACCTTTCTTCCCAGGGCCCTGGCCCCCACCTACCTACCTCCTTTTCGCAGTTAGATTCTATAAGGAAAGACAAACGTGCATGGTGGGGGCTTGTTTGTCCATAAGAAGGATTTAAGTCAAGAGTAGAAGCAAAGTGTAGTGTCTAAGGATAAGACTCTGGGTTCGAATTCTGACCCCACCACTTACCAGTGTGTGACCTCAGGCACCTAACCTTTCTGATTTTCACCATGAGATAGGGATAATAATATATTTTCTTAAAAAGGTTGTTGAGACGTTTAAATGAGATAATGCATAAAAGAACTTCATGCGGCATCAGGCACATTGTAGGTCTTAGTAAATGGTAGCAATTATTATTGCTATTAATAATATAATTAAACAATAACACTCATCCCTATTTTACAGGAAAGCCAGATTAAGAAAAGTCATTTTTGGCATTCCCTGATATTTTGTTATCAGGTGAAGAGTTTCCTAAGGACAGGAACTGGGTCTCTCCCATCAGACTAGGAGCTCCCTGCAGCCAGGTCTCTCAGACAAGGTTCAGTGAACCCAACCTTAAAGTTAGGGTTCAGAAGCTTCAGGCCTGGGTGCTGAGGGAGGCCTGTGGAGCCCCCCCCCTTGTTAAGGGGATGTGGGTTCTGCCCAGCCCTTGCCTCATGTATGGCGGTGAAGTCTCGCCTGTGTGCCTGTGTCTCCCAGAGCTTCTGTGCAATAAAGGCCGCCAGAGTCTGACCCCATTAGTGGGAGAGATGAAGCTCATGATTCCAATCAGCCTTTTCTTCCTGGATCTTGGTTAGCGAGTGTGGCAGAAAAGTGCACGACTAATTGAAAATATAGTTATAATGCACTGTCCTTTGTGCCTCCAGACCCCACTGTCTGAAGAATAGTTTGTTTCTCAAGTCAGGGAGGACGCCAGAGCTGGCCACTCAGAGATGGAGGTGGTACCCACGGGTGGGGTAACTTGGCTGGTGGGGGTGGGGCACGAGACTCAGCATTGACTCCTGTCCTGCTCTCCCTGACCATGGTCTGGAACACCTGGGCTCTCAGAGGATTGCTGAGTTCAGTGAGACTTTGTACAGGCTGCCTGGGGACTGGAGAACAAAGAGATGAGGCCTTGAATGCCAGGCTAGGGAGTGTGGCTTTTATCCGGCAGACACTGGTGAGTCACTGAAGGTTTTAGAACAAAGATGTTATGTGGGATTCTGTTTTTTTCCTTCATGGGTTCCCAAATCCTCCTCACCTCAAACATGTGTATGTTAACGCCTAGAAGAAGGACTGGCAGAATACACATAGGTGGTTGTGGTGCTAACTTTTGAGATGGACAAGTAAGCAAAGGGAGGTGTCCGTCATCTCCGTCATCTATTCAGTACCCTATATGATTTGAATATTTTACGATAAGAATATACCTTTACAATCTAAAACAAGATGAGAAATAATATAAATGTCCGTTAACAGGAAAATGGATAAGTCCATTGTGGCAGTGGAATACTACACAGCAGTGAAAACGAATGAATTA